ATAACGTGGCCATGTGTAGAATTTAGTATGAATGGTTGAAAATTTATTTTGAGATTTACACTTTATTTCCTGACACTTTCGTTCAAGTGCACAAATATTCTAAGTTTCAACATAGCGTACATACCCTTTACTGCTTCATAAAGAGCTTTAAATTTTTCACTTCACTTGACAAATAAACATATGACCTATCTAAAGGTAAACGGATGTAGCCTAAAGACGAATGAAACACCTGGAGTATAACGAGAGCGTTACCGACCCTTAAGAAACCTTAATATAAAACTCATTGAAAAACTACACGCCGTAGTCTCTAGAGAAAACCTCGCCAGTAAGTTCATTCCATAATCTGAGTCCCTGTGGGAGGAAACCCAATGAAGTTTTGGAGATATATTATATGTTATTAATATTATAAAGGAATTCATGAGGACATATAATACTTATTTGCAATTGTTTTTTTATTACCGATTTTAGCATGCTTGCTAGCCAAGTTAAATGAACACGGGCCTATAAATCCTTGTTCACAAGTCGTGAAAGTAATTGTTAATAAGAAATACAATGATGGATGTGCTTCTCGCAAGCCAGCGTCTAGCTGCTACATATGTTATGCGGGTTTTTGTTATAAAGCGAATTACAAAACAGTATATAAATTCCTGTTACCTAAAAACCGGCCAAGTGCGAATGGATACGCTCACCAACAGTTCCATTGCATTACGTTATATTGAATTTAAGAAATAAATAACTTTATAATGAATATTAAGAAAATATAACGTTACTACTGTAGTACCAAGTGACGTAGTATATATATGTAGATGGTAGAGTCATTATTATTACTACCAATGTCGTGGTGAACTGAACACCTGGTATGCCCACATTTCGCTGGATATAGATATATGAATGTCGTAGGGAACAAGACTCCTACCATCTCTAGTATAAATTTTTGTTTTAATATCTGTAGTTCCTTCCATACAAAGTGTTTTTTTGTGTCGGTTAGATTCAACTCACTCGAGATCGTATATGTTAGTCATGTCAGTAAACCACTAGACAATTACGGTGTCATATATTATTATTAGGAATATAGCTGTATACTTTTTTATTAGAACATAAAAACAAGAAATAAAAGTGTACGTAGTTAGGTAGGTCGGTATATCAAAAACAAGAAAATAAATACGTAGGTTCTATAGCTAGATACTACATTTATTTCCTAGTTATTATCTGTCCAATAATATCTACGTACAACAAACAAACTGTAATAGAAAGGATATTCATAGATAAAATTTATATAAAATTTCAAATTTGTACAGGCGTAGTACTTTGGTAGTCTGTGAATACGTTATCTCAGATTTCAGCGCGAATTTTCAAAAACATTCCTACTTTGCGACGCCACAGCGTGAGTAAAGTTTTAGGCTAGGTTTGTTTGGGAATCCGTAATGCATTTTGTTATCTATATTTATGTAGGTACTAGGTACGTATAGATTCATAATGAAATAGGTTCTTAAGCCTGTCTGTCATTGTTTAGCATCCTTCATATATATATTCTAGATAAATAAACTAATAATTATATTACATTGTTGATATTTAGGTTATTAATTTTTATATTTTGTCCATTTAATTCCGAACCCTAAATGTGGACGTTCTTTTCAAATATCATCGCATGTCCGGAGTGCATAAGTTTAAAATGTGAGCATTTTCGTTGAAAAGCTGCTAATTCGTTCGGTTCGACTCTTTGTGTTTTTTCGCAGAAATGCAGTTTAAGTTGGTGTGGTATTTGGTGCTCGAATTAAATACGTACCTACTTGTTACGTACCTACTGTGCTTTTAACTGATATAACTATGATACATTTGACTAAGTATAATTACTATATAAATATACAAAGTCTATATTCTAATTGCCAACAGATTAAGACGTTATGAACTGTAAGGCTAAGTAGAATATGTGTTAAATAGAAATTACTATTATTTTGTTGGCCTAAACTTTAGGGAACAATTTTTGAGTTAGTTAAATTTTTTAAAGCAAAAATATCTTATAAAAGATGGGCTTAGCTTGAAGATCTAATTATATGCAGTTTTTGGAACAAATCATAAATCATGGACGCGGTTAATGATAATAAGTCAAACTGTAATCTCTACTCTACCTTTAGGCCTGCGGTACAATCAATTAACAAATCGTTTAGAAACCAAAGTTGACTTGAGAATCCTCTCTAATCTTATTCAAGTCGTTAGCAAAGTAAGTTATAGAAATAAATGTCATCGTTAATATTTTCTAAAAAGCCTAAAAAATTAAAAATATCTATACTGAATAGGAGACCGTAGGTAGAGCACATTAGTGACACGCGACGTGCCGTTACTGACCTACGCCTAACATAAATGCTATTCTTTGTAACAGTAGAACGCTTGTTGCAATATTAAATAGATACTATGGTAGACTTTGGAAAAAAATATTTTAGCTGCCAATCTTGAATATTGACTTTGGTAAGTGTGAAAAAATATAGTCAAATTTCACATGATTTCTTAGTTCTCCGGAATATCAACAAATGAGTGGTATCACGGTCGTCACGTAATAACGTGATTGCTTGTGGTGCTATTCATATATAGGCGATGGTTGCCACTTATCAGCTGTTGGGCCACCAAATTGTTGGTCAAACCGATTACATAAAAAGCACTGTAATAATGTTCTTATTTTATTACGCTAATACTTAAGTTATGAATACAATTAGCTGATCTAAATAAATTGATGATCATTTGTCTCTTTGCAAAAGCAGGAAGACTGACACAGGACAACGGAACAGGCCGCCTTATTTGGTCACATTACTTATGCCGCATCACAATTGTAATCTTATGTTTTTAATACTATTTGATTTTTAGTACTGATACAAGCAGACTACTAGTTGATTATGATAATCAAGGCCAAGCATACAGCAGTAATTAATATAAAGGAGGTTCCGTTGTTACGAATGTTAGGGCGTATATTTAAAAGAAACTTCACACGATAAAGATTATCGTCAGACTTGTTTTATATTACTCTTACTCAAATTAAAAATAGGTAACTTATTCATTCAAGACATTATAATCACTTATGTAAGTCGAGTTTTTTGTATATACCTAAGACTTACATTTTTCTATTAAACCAAAACGGAGAAATACATTGTTGTGTTCCACTTACCTACTATCACAATTACTTGCAACTTGGGAGAAAATATTAAGCAAGATATTTTTTCTAGATGGAACAAAAGAGAAACTCTAATTTCAGAGATTGCTTATTACGGTAAAATATTTTTTTTTCTCTAAAAAGAAAAATATAAGTAATCTTCCAAGTCCACTTTACGTAAATGAAAAAAAATACCGTCTTCTGTGTAAGATATACCTGTTTCAAATTAAAATAATATTAATTTCTCTTTCTCGATGTTCCCAAAAGGTTTTCTTACTCAAAATAAATAAAACTTAAATAAATTACTAGCTATTAGCTACTTGACAACTTCGGTAATTGTTTAAATTATAGTACAGTTGTATTCACTGACCTGTAAACCAGACATATACCTGATGTATAGAATACCTACCCACCAGGGGAAACAAACGGTACCTATCAGTTGCATCGTCCCAACACTTTAGTGCATTGTAACTTTGTACCGTATCTAATGTGGTTACAGTTATTATATAGAACACAATAATTCACTGGCTGTCGCTCAAAATAATGATAGTCAAAAGTTTTCCAAATTATTTGTTTCAAAGTAATATGTGGAAATGTTTCCAAAAATATGGTATAAGTAGCGACATCTACCGTACTTTGTACGCATGAATAGATATTGCAGTTTACAATAGATGGCGTTACTGTGCAAGTAATATAAGTCTTCTCGTAATTGTATAAGGTGGTAGTATTTATGTTTATATTATAGAAAATAAAATCTACTAAACAGTCTTTCTCGTTATTATAAATGTTTGCATCAATGATAGCGTATACTCAAGTAATAGATTCTGGTGATTATATTTCATCTTTTCTATGAAAAGAAATTGGTTAAGGTATAACATAGAGATAAAGATAAAATTTAAAAATAAAATGGACGTATTGTTGTGTTTCATTTCTTACTTTTAATTAACTAAAGAAAAATGTAATGTATCTAAATTACTGCCTCATATCTATATTTTAATTTGTATAATTTGAGGGAACGCAGCTGTAATTGCATAAATATTTTTGTCCTGGCAATATTTTAGTGTCAAAATTCGACTTACCATATTCAATTTTTTTACCATATTGAATGGAGTATACGATATCTTAGAAATATTAGAACACTAAAAAAATATGTTATTAGCAAATTAAATAAAAGTAGATATTTATTACTTATTTCATATTGATTTATGATTATAATCTAGTATGAAACGAATTAAAATAAAATTAATATTTCCTTTTTTTTTGTTACATTTGTCTTCATAACCGAGATATTTTTTTATCATATATTATACTAGCTGTACTCAAGACTTAGTCCGCGTGGAACATAACTATTTCTCTAAAATAACGGTAGCCTAAGTTACTCTTTATTACATCGGCTACCTGCCAAAAAAAGCCCCGTCAAAATCGGCCCAGCCATTTCAGAGATTAATCGGAACAAACAAGACAGGCAAAAATTATTAAAAATGTTATTTTGGTGTATGTACCGTATTTATATTCATATACATGTAGTAAAAAACGGTTATTTTAATATTGTAAACAGACACTCCAATTTTATTTTTATACATAGATTATTCAAGACAAATATTCTTATGAAGAAGCACTCCAGCATATTTACTTAAGCCATTAAAGTAAATATGTTATGGAATTATAAAATGAAGATTTTATTAGTCAGAGCGAGGGATAGATCTACACATATATTTATCAATACCTCAACTTTGAAAAATGTATGTGAATATTAATATTTTTTTAAGATTATTGGTGTCTACTTTAACATATTGAAATCGTGGGGTGTTTTGGTATTTTAAGTGTGTCAACCCAAAAATTAGTACCGTACGAAAACTACACGACGTTGAATGCATGTACGTCCGCGCTAAGAAAACTCGTTGAAAATGCATTCATCAAAATGGTAGAATCGTTGCAAATGTTCTTATTCTTGTTCAAATCAAAATACAGACGAAAATTCTCGTGGTTCTCACCGTTCTTGTGTTCAGTTCTCATAGTGTTATTGTTTTGTCATGGTGTTCTTTCTATATGTAGCGATCATAATTGTTTGAATGGTGTGTGTAAAAATGATACTTGCATTTGTTACGATGGCTGGCAGGGACCAGAGTGCCAGTATTGCGGCGGGAAAATCAAGTAAGTGCCTATAAATGTGATCCTTGGAACGTAGAGTATTCTTAGTTCAGTGACCTGGTTGACAGGCGCGCCTCTTGTCACATTGAAAACAAGAACGGTTTTGCAAGAGAAAGCCAGCGTAGGTTTATCCAATTATCTTCTTTGGCTTCTTCATTTCTTCCTGAGCCCTACAAAGGTCGTGCATGATCGTTAAGACTTATGTGCAAAAAAAAAATAGTGACGTACATAACGGCAAGTCGGCCTGTTTTAAATTAACGTGAAAAAAAAAACAATAAAAATTAGTTCAAATTAATGTATGCTAGATTTTATGGCCTAAACATAAAAGTTTACATGCTTGCCCTTGTAACTGCTATTAGGTGTTAATTGACCACTCTGAAAACAATTTTACAGTAATCATTTGAAGACTAATGAAATTATTGCTTCTTGATATTTAACATAGTTAAGAGGTAAGAAACTGCTAAATGTTGTTGTTGCATTGAGGATTTCTAATACAGCTACTATTTTTATTTCCTGTGGAAGGGTTCTTGAGAAAACAACAGCTAAGATTTGTTATTGTTTCATACAATATCTATAAATTTAGGTTAGTACAATTATACTTTAATATCTTCTATGAGTTATGTTTAGGTAGTATAATTTTATAATTAAATAAAAGAGGACAGTATCTGATTGAATAAAATAGTCATTGGTTTTTGACAGATCAATGTATGTTATAAAAGTGTTCATATTATATCAGTAGCTGCCTGTATGTGCCTATAATTTGTCATTTGGAGAAGGGGATTGATTGTAATGGAGATTAATGGCATATTGCTAGCAATCTCATATAATTTTTCCTATTGTCAGGTGCTTGGACCTAGAGCACTGCAACCTACATAGATCTATTGTGCTCACCCTTTTTCAGAGTTTGTGTAGGAGCGAGCGAACTTTCCAAAGGAGATATTACATTTATTCATGGAATTCTCTAATTTATGTCTTCTTCTTGATATGTGTTCTTCTTGACAATTCCTCAAGACTGAAGGTCGTGACCACCAGGAATGCTTCTTCCAACCGAAACTCCAGGCATTTCTATCTTGTGCTAAGGACCCCCAACTGTATATTTTGTTTGACGGCCTCTCATACAGGATGACTCCAACATGCAGGTGCCCCACCTCTGCCCCTTTTTCGGTCCATGTGGCCTACCATTATACATTTTTCCAAATTATCTGGTTTTCGACCACATTCATCGGGCCACATGGCCGAAAAAAGTTACCTAGAAGCACACAGTAGAGAGATGGTTTCTGATACACAGTTCTTCCAAAATAGATGCAATAGTGCGGCGCTCCGTCTATAATATTGCTAACATTTTGCGCCAGCACAACATCTCGAAAGCAATAACATAATTTATCTAGTATACTAAATTTCATGGTGATTCATGAATCTATAATTCATGGACACAAAGCATATTGTTAAATAGAATATGTATTATTGATGTCTCAGATAATAGTTTATACTTACTTATAAGATAAATAATTATAATCATGAACTCATTATTATATCCTTCAATATTTTAATAAAATCAACTGTTTTCACAAAAGCTTTTGTTCATATCTGCATTGTGTCTATTATTTTTTGAGGACATTCTTTGTTAATTGTATTTTCCTATCATACTAAATTGACAACTATATGTAATGAATAGAGAACTAAGCATTTCATTCATTCCCTGCACTGGTATTGTGTCCATAATAAGGCAGCAAGAGAGACAGAACTTTGTGCACATCCCAAGTATGGTAGATTTAAATGTCCTCTTTCTGATGTACAGCAACACTAACATTCACTACTCTCTCTGTCCAACTAATTCCAGTATCATCCGCTAATATAGCTTTGCATCATAATCTCTTCTCATTATGGAATGGTAAATGTCTTTACTAACCACAACTCCATTCATAAAACAAATAATAATAAGTATTTAGTTAAATAGATTTTTGTCAAATTGAGTCTTTTATTAACTATAGCCAATAAGTAACTTTTACATTTATGATATTACTGCAACAACATGCAAGCCCTGTATTGTGTGATTCAGACTAGGGTTCATTTCCAGGAAATCGTTGGGTTTTGTTCCCGGGAAATCAAGCTCGAGAAAAGTCGAGAACTCGAGAAATCAAGTACCTATATAGAAATTAAATTGCACTTTGTTATATTGCTTGGCGGCGCAATAATACAAGATATTAAGGTTTTCTTTCATGTATTTTTTTTTGTTTTACAAAAACTATTTTTGTTTACAAGTTTAAGGTAGATTTTTTCTAAATAACCAGCCAAAAATGGTGCTGTCATTATAAATATAAGTCTGAATAATATTAGGTCCTAACATATGAAAGTGGTGTTTTGTAAGGGAGTAACCTGAAGTATTTTTTTTTCACAATATAACATGTTTATTTAATCAAACTATGTACCATTGCTATTTATGCGCTTTTGACATCTCATAGGTACATTGATCCCTTTACTGAAAAAAACATTTGAACGGGAACATTTGGACATATCAATAAAATCTTTGGACTTTGGACTGCCCCATCGGATTTGAATTTTTTCCCAATCAGTTATCCAAATTTCGAAAAAAATGGTAATCTATTGGAGCAAAATCTATAAAGTCTTAGACATTACAATTGAATCTCTTCTAATTTGGTAAATGTCAGTTGTGCAGTGTGTGGTCTAGCGTTGTCCTGAAGCAGCAGTAGCCTACGGCGATTGACCAGCCTCGGTTGTTTAGCAGCTAGCTTTTCCATTATGGTTTCTCAATTGCTGACAACACACATCTGCCGTAATCATCGGGCCAGATTTAAGAAAGCTGAAGTGAACAACACCGGAACTAGTCCACTAAACGCTTGCAAGTAACTTTTTTTGGGTCAATTTTCGCTTGGGGCAGGATTTGGTTGGTTTGCCAGGGTTCAGCCATTGCGATGAGCGTTTCCAATTATCATACAATATCCACATTATCACAGGTAATGATGCGATTTAAAATCCCTTTATTATTATGCCGGTTGACTAATGTAACGCAGCAGTCTACGCGCGTTTGTTGATCGAAACGCGAATTGTCTACTCAATTCATGAGGGACCCACCTTTTAAGCTTTTTCACCCTCCCAATTTGCTACAAGTGGATTAATACAGTTTTGTCACTAACACCGCAACCTGCAACTAACTCGGACGTGGTTTGCGATGGATCTGCTATCATAATAGCCTTCAATTCTTCATTACCAACCTTGGACTCCAGCCGTCCACGGGGATTATTTTGCAGGTCGAAATTTCCAGAACGAAAACGTTTGAACCAAAAATGCATTGTGTTTTCTTTTGCGACACCACTACCATACACATCATTAATCCTTCGAGCCGTTTCTGCAGCACTAGTGCCATGGCGGATCTCGTACTCGTACTTGTAAATGACGCGATATTTTAAGTTTTCTATTTTATAAGCTGAGTGACCCAAAGAAAAAACCAAGCATATGTATTACGGTTTTCGAAAAACAAATGCATGAGTGAATAGCCGTATAAATTTGAAATTGAAATTTCTAACCAAAGAGGAGATATTTAAGATCAAAGTGGCCAGTACGACAAAACGCTAATTTCATATGTAAGAACCTAATATATTTCAGTATTTTAAAAAAATGGCTTATTCATAATATGTATAATGTTTTTAAATATACCTACTCAATAAAAGTTTTATAATTAATTTTATAGTTAAATTTTGTATTTAATATTTAACAAAAAATAGTGGTTTTCGTCTCAAATGAAACAACTGAGTTTTTTGACGTTATTGGAACAAATAATATGAGAAAACGTACGTAAATGTAAATTTCTCGACAACCCGAGAAGACCCGAGAAATTAATCTCGAGAATTTTCGAGACCCGAGAAATTGAAAAGCTCGAGAAATCATGAACCCTAATTTAGACATATACGAGAATAACTTACATGTATATATATATATAAAATAACTTACATGTATGTATATAAATAGTAAGGTTGGTTTAAACAGTTCTAATTCTACAGCTATGATCATATTGTTTATTTTATTTTAGACTAGCAGTTCCCGCGACTTTGTCTGCGTGGAATTTAACTTGACAGACAAAAATTGTAAAAAGATATATTTTGGTGTATGTACCGTATTTATATTCATATGCATGTAGTAAAAAGTTGTTATTTCAATTTTACGAACAGACACTCGAATTTATATGTATAGATAATATGCAAATTTTTGTTTCTCTGTATAACTGTAATGACATCCACTTCATTGTATCATATGTGATAAATCCGGTTAATTGTTTTTTCTAAGGTTCATGACCCTGAATGATACATACTCATTTTATGAGTATAGCTCATTTTAGTTAGTGCTCTATTTTATGGCACATACCTACTGATATGACATAATCTGATAATAATAATATCTGAGGACAATTCACAGGCACTATCTAGTCCCAAGCTAAGCTGAGCTTGTGTTATGATGTACTAGACAACTGATACAATAAAAACTTTTTTTATATATCATACATAATATAGATAGAACTCCGAGACTGATAGAAATAATCATGCCCATGAATACAAATGTTTCTGCAATGTGAGGAAACAAACCTGCGACCATTGTAAGTAAGGTGGTGGTAAACCATTAGACCACTGAGGCTGTCAATTATTATGCATATTTCATGCAAAATAAAATATGTATAATAATTATAGGTATATACTCTACATACATTTCCATAGAGAAATCAATTTTGCTGATATTATGAGTATGTAAAAAATAAATCTTTTATAGAAATTTTTTCTTGTCTGTTACCATTTAAGAACTTACTATAACACAGTCTGTGCCACAGTATGTGTACAATTCAATAACTGCAATTGTACAAATAAAGTATATTTGTATTCTGCAATTATCACATTATGAGACGCTAAAAAGGGATAACAGTACCATTTTATTAATCTAAATTTGTTTCTTGTACTTTCCAGGTTGACATCCCCAACTGGTATAATAACGGATGGACCCGGAAATTATAGCGTGAGCACTCAGTGCTCATGGCTGGTAGCCCCGCCGTGGCTCGGGCCAAACCCGCCGGCCATTCGCATCCGACTAGAGACATTTGCCACTGAATGTGGGTGGGATCACCTGTACGTGTATGACGGCGACAGTGTCAGGGCAGAGAGGCTACTCGCCGTATATAGGTATAATAATAATAATTTCATATAAAATAGCTTATTAATAAGGATGTATTTTGGAAGGATAAATTATTAATCCACAATTTTAATAGTGAATGTTCTTTATTACTTAAAAGATAATGACTGATAGTGGTGTTCTATGCCAACCATCACTATGTAATACCCATACAACATACTGATGGTTGGCACAGAACATAATTAATGAAACAAAGAAGTCCTCAATTCGACACAGTTTTTAACAAATTGAATATGAAATATATGTGGACTTGAATAGATAATAAAAAAATAGGTACAATTCTATTTAACTAACTTATTTCTTTCAATTGGACTATAAAATATTGTTTGTATTAATTAATGCAGAGCTATCTATCTATAAATGTATATGACAATTTTTATCCAAGATATCTAGATGTCAAACATGTAAATTCCATTCCCACAAGCATAAGTCAATATTATTTGAAACTAAAATGTATCTATCTGAGATGCGACGATATTATACCCCGATATAATCCAGCGCAAAAACCTTGGATCCTTGAACAGTACATAACTGTTAAGAGCTATTATGAACATAATTAATCTAATCAAACCAATGAAATAATTGTTTCTGTCGTCCTCACAGACTTCTTTATTATCATTTTATGTGGTGTTATAATAATAGACATAAACATGCAAATTTATATCCTATTATTATAAATGTTATATTATATTTGACATGGTAATTAATTATAACTATTAATAACTAAATAATAATTTAAGAGTTTCTCTTGCAACCAAATCTGTTTCTGTATTTTTGAACAGTACCCTAGCAACATGTTAGTTCCCGATTTTACGGTCATTGAATCAACTAACCGACATCATAATTGATTTATTCAATTCTCTCTTGATTGAGTTTCAAAAGAAGGGTACAGAACTGGATTGGATTGAAATGAATATTGGAATTAGACTCAAGATCATCGTCTGAAATCACGTTTCTTTAAATTCCGAAACACGCAATGTGAACTTTATAAGAGCTATGACCATTTTGGTACTGGTATATACTATATAATACAATTGCTTAAAAACAAGAATATTCATATATTATTTTATTTACTTTTTCTTTACTATTACAACAATACATCAAACTGAGATAATAGCAGTAGAGTATAACAATTTATTCCATATACAGTAGTTAGAAACATCGTCAACAGTCAGTATTTGTTGTGTTGAATGCAACACATTTCACTAAGCATATTTAACCTTAACGTGGCAGGCCCTGAGTCTATCAGATTATTTTTGTCTAGTATTAATATTTCTATAACAGAGAATCGGTCAGAAATATAATTTGACAGTTCCTGATATGAGTCAATGTCGAACTCAAGAAGTTCTGGAAGTATAAGTCGGGGTGTAAACTATTGTACCAAAACGCTATCTAATTACAATAATATTATTTTTTTGTTTATTTTCAGTGGCGTGCTGGATAGTGGTGAATCAGACTGGACCCGGCAGGTCATCGCGCATTCCGGCAGCGTACTACTTCATTTTTTCTCAGATGACGCGTATGTAATGGAGGGGTTTAATGTCACGTACGCGGCATACTCGTGTCCCTCTGATGATCACCATACTAATTGTTCAAGTGAGTTTATAAAACTATATCAGCCATAGACTGTGGTAAGTCCTTTGTTGCCAAGCTACTGGCCTTTTAAGAAGCTTTGTTTCGGTTGAAAACCTGAAATATAGCATTAAAATTACTTGGTCTAGATCAGGGGTGGCCAACTTGATTAGACCCAAGATCTCCTGTTTTCTATTGATATCCTGTGCGATCTACCAATTACATACTTCCCCTAGTTTAGCATAATCAGGGTTATAGTTGGAAATTGCCAACCTTTTTTACGATTACGATGCGCAGTCTAGTATGTATATTTTTGCCTTGCCACGATCTACTGGACTAACAGTCGCGATCGACCGGGATCAACCTGTTTTCTACCCATTGTATGGAGAGTTGACATATTGGTCATAAGAAATAGAACTACATGCATGACATGTTTATTATATGTTATGCCTGTGGTATTGCTTTATAGGCTATATTGTCGCCACTTTTCATCAGATGTGCTATTTATTCCTCAAAAAATATAAGTAATTATTATTATATATTATTTAATATAAAAAGGAAAGTATTGATTGTTTTTTTTCATTGAATAGGCTCAGTAACTAATAGATGATATGGTAAATTCTTTTAACATTAGAATCCATACAGTATTTTTTAATACTTTAAGTATCCATATGAAAACTTCGATAATATAACCCATGTAACAAAATATGCTATTTATGCTACGGAAATTATTGACAACTACAGTTTTATAGAGAATAATAAAATAAATTGTTATATACTTTTTTATATATAGATCATGGTGAATGTGACGATGGTACATGTAGATGCGAGCCTGATTGGATAGGCGTGGCCTGCGATCAGCCTCTATGTCCAGGTGAATTATTATTAATACTATAAATATAAATATGTAATAATATAAAAATTTAAATTTATACATATTAAGCCTATGTTCAAATTAACAAGTTCTTAAGTTGTGTTGCAAGGTGGTGGGACATCTAATTGCTAACAAATATGACAGACTATCTTAGTGTATGTCACATATGTCATGTATGCCTTTTTCATCTTTATTTTCCTTTATGTTACGTTATGAAAAAATATATAATTGTGTTATTATCGTAACAATATATTGGTAATATGTAAAAATATGTACCTAATATTGTCGATTAAATTCTAGTAGTAAACATTTTTACATAATATGATTTATCTCTAAGCTCCTCCAAAGTAATAGACATAGTATAGTCAATCTTAGAATCATATTTTCAAGAAGAAGATATGTATATATGGATAATATTAAAGCATATATTTTTCGATACTGAACCAGTTTTGTATTATAGCTTTTATTTATAATCATAAGCATGTACCGTATTTGGTTTCATTCTAATTTAGACAGGAAAGAACAGTTTCCTGTGGAATTATATCTTACATTTCCTTACATTATTGCAGATGACTGCAATGCAGCATATGGGGCGGGTAGGTGCACAGACAAAGGTTGCGTGTGTACGTCTCAACGAGCCGGTGAGGACTGTTCGCGCGAGTCATCGGTTGCTGGCTGGCGTTGGGCGTGGCGGGAAGCAGGGGCGGGGCGTGTGGATGAATCGCCTCCGCCCGCAGCACCCCCCGCCACCGCTGCGCATGCGCTGGTCGCTTATGGAGACGACCTACTGCGTGTTGGCGGAGAGACTTTCTCTGACGCCGCCTTTTTGTATAGGTAACTTTTTTAGTATTTTGAGTCGTAACTGTACAGCTCTCATTTATAACTATGTGGTCTCGGACAGTGCGGTTTCAGAGGAGCTTTTACCCGCTTACAAGTAGATTGTGGAATGAACTCTTCTGAATCTACCGAGGTTCTCTCGCGAGACTATAGCATGGGGTTTTTCAAGAAGGGTATATTGCAGTTTTTTAAGGGCCGATAATGCGCTCGAAACTCCTGGTGTCTCAGGTACACATAGACAGGTATCCATAGGTTCACAAAATAAAGTTATTTATTGTTCATTATATTATATACGCCAGCACTATCTCTTTTTACTTCCTATAATTATTAAGGTTATTATTTGAATTTATGCGTTTGTCTTTAGGTACAAAGTATTGGAGCGTACCTGGGAGGTAATAGAGACGGTGGGTGATAGTCCGGCACCGCGGTTCGCACACACGGCAGTGGTGCATGGCCACCAGTTACTCGTTTATGGCGGACTCGTTGCCGCATCTGATCCGGAACGGGGGTCAGTATCAATACATATATTTGGGATATATTAAAATTAATTATAAGCGTATGGTTCTTTCTGTGGCCCATAAGTGACTTTATAGCTACAAATCTATCAAATCAAAATGTCTTTATTCATGTAGGTATATTACAAGTATATTAATCTTATTATATCTCAAATCTACCATCAGTTCATGTTCATGTATATGTGTTTAAAAATACAGATTATTTTTTAGAAAATGCAAATGGTATATTGACTTATAGTAAGTGGTATATTGCCATACAAAACTACAAAGCAAAGATGAAGCCTCTTGGGTCATTGTGCTTGTTGAGTCGAGTGATGAAGCATACGTGTATAGAATGCATGGATCGTAAGAGCGAGAGCAGAATGGAAAGCGAACAGTGAACAAATACACTAATGCTACATCTGATGCTATTCTTGGAATTTGAACTTTAATGTGTATTGTTAGTGTTTGTTCTCGCGTGTAGGGGCGGTCTGGCGGGCCTGGAGGGACGCGCGGGAGACGCGACCAACGAACTTTGGCGGCTGCGGCTCGACGCGCCGCGCCCGCGCTGGGAGAACGCCACGCCCGCCGCCTGCACCCCGCACCGCGCGCCGCCGCTCGACCACTGCGGTAGGTGTGCTCCACTCTGTACTCAGTGCTGCGGCTCGACGCGCCGCGCCCGCGCTGGGAGAACGCCACGCCCGCCGCCTGCACCCCGCACCGCGCCGCGCGACCACTGCGGTACGTGTGCTCCACTCTGTACCAGTGCTGCGGCTCGACGCGCCGCGTCCGCGTGCCTGCACCCCGCACCGCGCGCCGCCGCTCGACCACTGCAGGTGTGCTCCACTCTGCTGGCTCGACGCGCCGCGCCCGCGCTGGGAGAACGCCACGCCCGCCGCCTGCACCCCGCACCGCGCGCCGCCGCTCGACCACTGCGGTAGGTGTGCTCCACTCTGTACTCAGTGCTGCGGCTCGACGCGCCGCGCCCGCGCTGGGAGAACGCCACGCCCGCCGCCTGCACCCCGCACCGCGCGCCGCCGCTCGACCACTGCGGTACGTGTGCTCCACTCTGTACTCAGTGCTGCGGCTCGACGCGCCGCGCCCGCGCTGGGAGAACGCCACGCCCGCCGCCTGCACCCCGCACCGCGCGCCGCCGCTCGACCACTGCGGTACGTGTGCTCCACTCTGTACTCAGTGCTGCGGCTCGACGCGCCGCGCCCGCGCTGGGAGAACGCCACGCCCGCCGCCTGCACCCCGCACCGCGCGCCGCCGCTCGACCACTGCGGTACGTGTGCTCCACTCTGTACTCAGTGCTGCGGCTCGACGCGCCGCGCCCGCGCTGGGAGAACGCCACGCCCGCCGCCTGCACCCCGCACCGCGCGCCGCCGCTCGACCACTGCGGTACGTGTGCTCCACTCTGTACTCAGTGCTGGCTCGACGCGCCGCGCCCGCGCTGGGAGAACGCCACGCCCGCCGCCTGCACCCCGCACCGCGACGCCGCTTCGGCGGCTGCGGTACGTGTGCTCTTATCTATACTAGTGCTTTTCTGGGAGAACGCCACGCCCGCCGCCTTTAACCGCGCGCCGCCGCTCGACCAGTTTTTTGCGGTTTTAGGTGTGCTATATGTTAAATCAGTGTGCTCGACGCGCCGCGCTATCGCTGGGAGAACGCCACGCCCGCCGTTGCATATGCACCGCGCGCGCCGCTCGACTACTGCAAACGTGTGCTGACTAAGATAATGTCGACGCGCCGCGCCCGCGCTGGGAGAACGCCACGCCCGAATTGACGTGCACCGCGCGCAAATGTTCGAACTGCGGTAGGTGTGCTCCAATAACTCGACGCGCCGCGCCCGCGCTGGGAGAACGCCACGCCCGCCGCCTGCACCCCGCATCGACTATGTATGTTGATGTTGTTGTCGACGCGCCGCGCCCGCGCTGGGAGAATATATGTGTATTGTATGTATTTTATATTTCGACCACTGCGGTACGTGTGCTCCACTGTACTCAGTGCTGCGGCTCGACGCGCCGCGCCCGCGCTGGGAGAACGCCACGCCCGCCGCCTGCACCCCGCACCGCGCGCCGCCGCTCGACCACTGCGGTACGTGTGCTCCACTCTGTACTCAGTGCAGGCGAGCCAGCTGGAGACGTGACCGACGGCTGCCGACGCACGACGAACTTTGGCGGCTGCGGTTCCACTTATTACACTATTTTTATTGATTTTTTAAATGTTAGTAAGTTGTTTAAAGTTTTAAAGTTAGGTTGTTATATGTTAAATTATGTGTGAGGGCAGAACTATCTCTTAAAGCATACTGTTTAATATGACAGTTGGCGGTATATCCGACAAACAGTGATGACTAAGATAATGTATAGCAAGTGAATTGACGTGTCACATATGTTCAAAACAATAACTAACTTAAACTGGTATTATCTATGTATGTTGATGTTGTTGTACCTAAGAATATATGTGTATTGTATGTATTTTATATTTGCAGGTGGTCTCCACGTGTCGGGCCACTCCGCGGTGCTAGTGCATCTGGGTGTTACCCGAAAGCCTGTGATGCTTGTGTTCTTCGGCCATTCGCCCCATTATGGCTATCTACATACTGTACAGGTATGTCCGTACGTCTATAAAGCTTATACACTACTTTTTAGATATACATATTAAAATAAGTACATTTTTATTAATATTACATACTATGAGATGTTATTCAGGTACTGTATTTTAGTAGACAATGATAAGATGAGGTCAGGTTAGTTAGCTCCATATGGCAATTTCACTAGGAATTTATCACTTGTTATCAGGGGGAACCGCTTGGCGGGAAACCTGACATGGCACATTGGTAGCAATGGGATTATTAGTCCACATTACTAACAATACCCTTCCGCCCGCCTCTTGATAATTGATAACAAAAGGAGTTCCACTATGTATGTATGTTGACGTGAGGTATATATTGACAGGAGTACTACATAGAAGAAGGTGTGTGGGCGGGCGCGAACACGCGCGGATGGCCAGCACGCGCCGGCTTCGGGCACAGCGCCGCACTCGACGCGCTCTCCGGCCGTGTGTACGTGCATGCCGGGCTAGTCTCCGAGTCGGAGGCTGCGCAGGTAACTTCTTGTTGTTTAACAAAGAGAAATCTTCACAGATTAAACCACCCCGCCCGGTAAGTATCTGATATATGTGAGAATCTAGGCTGAACGCGAATCTGAGGCCCAACGCGATTATTTATAGGCGACGATTACCACTTGCGGGCAGGTTGGCCTGGTTAGGCATTCCAATTACATAAAGAAAAGAAATAATTTTTACATGACATATAATATTTATAGTAATCAGTGTTCTATAAGTCAGATTTATAAAGTAGTGTTATGTTTACAGGCACCATCATCAGCTTTATATGAGTATGAACCGGAGACGAGAGTGTTCAAACCATTACCTTCAGCACCTACTCCCAGATATTTACACACTGCCACGTTTATATCACCAGGTAACATTGATTTTTTAAGGTAACTATTGTTTTTTTTAGAAACATTTACTGTCGATCCAATATATACTTTAAAACTGATCTAAACAGAATTCTATCTAAGAAAGCTGTTTATATAATGTTCGTATGATATCTGAATGGAATTATATAATTATTTTAATCTTCTAAAGTTAACAACAGATTAAAATTAGAGCGATATGGAATATTACAACTGAAATTAAGTAATATTCTAGAAATCGAAATAATATTTCTATTTGTTTTTGGTGATAGATATTTTATAGTTTTGGAATTTTGGTCTTCCACTTATGTTCAATCATTTTGATAGTTTTTAAGATTACTGCTATAATTACCAATGTATTTATTTTACATAACTTGCACACAGTACAATAAGTAACAGTAGATATGACGGGTTTAACATGCGGTTTTTCTACTAGTCAACCATAGTTGTGAAGAGAATAATTGTTGGTGATGTAAATATATGTTCTTGTTTGGTGATGTCAATGTTGAGATATAATTTAATGATGATGAGATATTGTATAATGTTCACAGGCGTAATGTTAGTGTTCGGCGGTAACGCTCACAACGACAGTGCGTCCACGGCTGTATCCACTGCGCCACCCGCCGCTAAGTGTTACTCGTCCGCAGCCCTGCTATACGACGTCAGGTGAATATATTATAGACAATACTGATTGAGTTTGGTTCACACATTGTATATAGAACAACAAACTAGTTTAACCTATATGTTTGGCGAAAGTTAGTAATTCGTTTTGTGGAAATTGCAACAAACTGCCAGAGTCTGACCTGGCTCTGCCAGAATAAAGATTTAAATGTCTCATAAAATACTTACTTTGTAAAAAAGGTTATTATAAAACGAAGAGCTAATAAATGATAGTAATGTTTGGAAAAAATCTACCTTAAAATTTATAGCACCGACAATGTTATCTGATTGTATAAAGATTGAGTGTGTAACGATTTCTATGTTGATGCATTTCCTTTCCTTTTTAATTTATATTTACTATAACAAAATTTCTAAAAGAGCAACACGAATGTTTTTCGCTCATTCTTCTTGTGTTAAGTCTGCACTCTGGGGCCATCGGCAGGGTTGATATTGAGTGAATGTATGTGTGTGTGGTCAGGTGCGGACAGTGGGGCGCAGTGCGGTCGCCGGCGGGCTCAGCACGCGCTTCGCACGCAGCCGTCGCGTTGCCGCTGCAGCCACGTCGCTCTATCCTACTGCACGGCGGGTGAGTCTGCACGCACCTTTATTTCTAAACTAAACTTAAACTTAAACTAAAACATACCGTCACTATTACGACTGCTATCCCGGATACCGAACATAAAGTGTTGAGAATTCCTCTAACTATCCTAGTTGGAGGAATACTCAACACTTTATGTTGCGAAGAACGCACACACTTGAGATGCCCACATTTCGCTTCATATATTTGAATCAAACCAAGCATTAGCAAAACCAAAAAAATATGCCTTCGCAAGCGGCAGACACCGCTTTCGAAGGCATATTTTTTTGGTTTGATATCAATTATCTTTTTAATGTGTGTGTGTCAATAAAAAATGCAAATTGACACAAAGTTTTAATGGTATCCGCCAAATTTGGTGTAAGTTAGAATAGTAAATATCTAAAACAGGACTCTCTCAATGTGAGGGATTCGGACCTTGGTTCGGGCCCTCCGAATTTTGATACCCGTTTGAATTGGACGGGGTATCGATCGGAGGGGTTTTGAGAGAGAGTGTAATATTCAGGTTCGATGGCCGGCTGCGTGCGGACGCACTAGTGTTCGAGGCTGGCGGCGCGTGCAGCTCGCTGGCCGACGAGTTGGCGTGTGTGGGAAGTGCGTTGCGCGCCGCAGTTGCCTGCGCCTGGCGACGCCGCGAAAGGATATGCGTGCCGGTCTGTATACGTACATTATTATCAGCTTTCGAATATGTAAAATCACAACAGATCCTTTTTAGAAGTCGACAGACATTAAATGGTCCGTCAATCGTAAAGGTTACTGTAACCGACATATAGACAATGGATATAGTCATCAGTATACATATAATTTAGAATTTTTATTTTTATGTTTTCAGTTGGAAGAGATTGGTTGGACAGAGTCATTTGACGGCTCTGTAAGAACATGTGTAAATGAACCATTAGAAGGTGAGTGTCGCATTTGATTTGATTTTATATATCTATTTAAAGTAACACTTGGGCAGTTTGTTTTGGTCTTTGAGAAACATACTTTTTTTTATGGAAGATAATGGAAATCCGTCCGCCTTAGCTAACAGTTTATGTTGGCGGACACCAGAGATAGCAATGGAGTTATTAGTTCGCATTGCTAACGATCCCCTTCCCCCCATCCATGAGAGACTGAGTCCTCAATGAAGCAATTGTGTTGATTAGTAGCGGACGAGCGGCGCTGTAGCAGCTCGGAGGCGGCGCAGTCGTGCTGGGCGTGCACGGCGGCCGGCTGCGCGTGGTGCGGCGCCTGCCTCGCCGCCCGCCAGCGGTGCGCGCGCCGCCCGCACCAGGTGAGGTGACGTGACGTGACGTGACGTCACTGGCGGACGAGCGGCGCTGTAGCAGCCCGGAGGCGGCGCAGTCGTGCTGGGCGTGCACGGCGGCCGGCTGCGCGTGGTGCGGCGCCTGCCTCGCCGCCCGCCAGCGGTGCGCGCGCCGCCCGCACCAGGTGAGGTGACGTGACGTGACGTCACTGGCGGACCAGCAACAGACAACAGAAGAAGATCCAGTGACGTTGTAGCAGCCCGGGGCGGCGCAGTGGTCCTGACCGGGTTTTAATAACTGCAATGCTTTTAATCTTATGTAGCTTGTTCTTGACATGATTTGTAAAAAAAAAATATTTTTATAAATGTTTGAAATGAGGGCTCAAAATTTCAATATGACGTGTAGTGTCGTCGTTTATACGTGATATTATAATGAATGAAGTATGATTGTACATTTCTGTATTGATTTATATTTTTATTTAACTCTTGCGATTGTAAATGAAACATTCACATTTATCTTGGAATTAGTGTGTGAATAATAGTAATGGGAACCCCGAAGCCCTTTCAAGTTCTCTTGTTGTTAGTGCTGATTCCATTATTCTGACATCAACTACACGGGCTACTATTTGTGTAAGAGTTGTCCATTGTATCCTGAAGTAAACTATATAAAATGACGATGTGATTCGCAGATGGCGGTGTCGGTGGAGGAATGTGGAGCGGCGGCAGGTGCGTGGGGCGGAGAACCGGCACGGGAAGCGTGCGCGAGGTTTCACTCGTGCGCCGCCTGCTACGCACACCACCATCACCATCCACACGTATGTACTGTATGCAACTGTTGGTTTCGTCGTTTAAAGATCGTCAACGTGCACGTTAGAATCTTTGTATTTTAAGCATGTACAGGTAATAATACGGTAATCTAAACGTATGTATTATACAACAATTGTACAATGGGTATAAAATATTGACTATGAACATAGACATGAAAATAGGAAACTGAATAAATATTTATTGTGTATTTCATTCTATACAGGGAAAAGAAGAATTGAGTCAACGGTTGTGTTATTGGGATTATGACAGTGTGAAATGCAAGCCAGCCAACTCATCCGATGATATCAGGTAATTAAAACAATATTTATGTATGTAAGACTGAGTATAATGTAAAGGTAAGAGACCGTACACAAATTATAACGCCCAAGTGTTCTCTGAATCCTTTATTTAATAAGAATAGATATATTTATATACCTTAATACTATACAATTACGCTAGTACTGGCGTACCTAGAGTTTCGGGAGAAGCTTGCCTAGCTACTTTAGTAGTCTTTGTTGTACACGCACAAAGGCCTGGATGACAGCCTAAATGTGAAGAATAGAGTCCAATTTACGCTTACATTTTTAGGAGCGTGGCGGCCGCAGGTCCCTGTAGTGCGGCGTGTTCGTCGCTGAAAACGTGTGCCAACTGTACGGCTGAGGAATGCATCTGGTGTGCCTCCGCCGCGCGCTGCGTTGATAAGGTGCGTTTTGGACTATTATTTATATAATTATTTATTCTTTCTCTCTCTAAATATATATATTATATACAAAAAAAAGTATGTAATTATTTGTATCCAACTGATATAAAGTATACATAACACATGCTCTGCTTAGCTTGGGACTATACAGCGCCGTGTGAATTGTCCAGAGATATTATTCTTACGAGAATTGTAATCGACACAAATGTATGTTAAGGTTTTAGTGTATTGTCAGGTGGCTTACTCCTACTTAGATCTGTCAGGGACAAAAATTGAAGGATATTGTTAGGATTGTTAGATTGGTTTTTATCTTCTCAGTATAGAGTGTATCCTTTCCAAAGGAGTATTTCGTTGATGCATATATAATTGTGAACAGAATGCATACGGCGCGTCGTTTCCTTTGGGCGGGTGTCGCGCGTGGTCGACTAGCGGCGGCGCGGCCACGTGCGGCGCGGGTACGGGCGCGGGCGGGGGTGCGGGCGGCGGCGCGGGAGGGTGCAGCGCGCACGTGTCGTGCGCCGCGTGCCGCGCGGAGCCCGCCTGCGGGTGGTGCGACGACGGCAGCGGCGGCGGACGCGGCACCTGCCTCCCCGGCGGGGGGCGGCGCCCGCACGCACCGCACGTCTGCGCACAGCACAGGTGCGTACCGATCAACGTGTATATTAATGTTCTAATTTTAATAGCTGGTCCTTAACCTTTTGATAGCGAACCTTATATTTATCACTGTATGTAATCTAAATATCATTATAATAATATATAATATATATCATGATATACTAAATTGTTAGCATATATGCGACACTAACAAAAGTGTATGTAATTTAAATTATGATGCAGTATTGTTTTACGTACCTTTTTTTCCTGTTCTGTAAGTTTATTTGGGGTCTGCTTAGTTACTACACTAAATAAGTCTTGTAAAGAGGAAAGATACTTCTGTATACAATCATTAATTCTTTGTGTTCGGTCTATTGTGACGTCCGTCCGTTTCGCATTGATATTGACATGGATATTGCATCTATTCGCAAACATTATTAAAGTGAAAAGTGATTGTAGGTAATCGTTTTCGTTCGGATTTGACTCAGATGGCACTTCACACGGTGCCCGGCGTGTCAGTGCAACGGCCACGCGGTGTGCGACGAGGCGGCGCGCTGCGTGCAGCCCTGCGGCGGACGCGCGCTCGGCGCCCGCTGCGACGCGTGCGCGCCCGGACACTGGGGCAGCCCGCTCAACGGCGGCGTCTGCCAGCGTGAGTCCCCCGCCTCCTCCTATACCCACGGCACTAGCTCGCGCGGCGCCCGCTGCGACGCGTGCGCGCCCGGACACTGGGGCAGCCCGCTCAACGGCGGCGTCTGCCAGCGTGAGTCCCCCGCCTCCTCCTATACCCACGGCACTAGCTCGCTCGGCGCCCGCTGCGACGCGTGCGCGCCCGGACACTGGGGCAGCCCGCTCAACGGCGGCGTCTGCAACGGCGGCGTCTGCCAGCGTGAGTCCCCCGCCTCCTCCTATACCCACGGCACTAGCTCGCTCGGCGCCCGCTGCGACGCGTGCGCGCCCGGACACTGGGGCAGCCCGCTCAACGGCGGCGTCTGCCAGCGTGAGTCCCCCGCCTCCTCCTATACCCACGGCACTAGCTCGCTCGGCGCCCGCTGCGACGCGTGCGCGCCCGGACACTGGGGCAGCCCGCTCAACGGCGGCGTCTGCCAGCGTGAGTCCCCCGCCTCCTCCTATACCACGGCACTAGCTCGCTCGGCGCCCGCTGCGACGCGTGCGCGCCCGGACACTGGGGCAGCCCGCTCAACGGCGGCGTCTGCCAGCGTGAGTCCCCCGCCTCCTCCTATACCCACGGCCACGGCACTAGCCCGCTCAACGGCGGCGTCTGCCAGCGTGAGTCCCCCGCCTCCTCCTATACCCACGGCACTACCTCGCTCGGCGCCCGCTGCGACGCGTGCGCGCCCGGACACTGGGGCAGCCCGCTCAACGGCGGCGTCTGCCAGCGTGAGTCCCCCGCCTCCTCCTATACCACGGCACTAGCTCGCTCGGCGCCCGCTGCGACGCGTGCGCGCCCGGACACTGGGGCAGCCCGCTCAACGGCGGCGTCTGCCAGCGTGAGTCCCCCGCCTCCTCCTATACCCACGGCACTAACTCGCTCGGCGCCCGCTGCGACGCGTGCGCGCCCGGACACTGGGGCAGCCCGCTCAACGGCGGCGTCTGCCAGCGTGAGTCCCCCGCCTCCTCCTATACCCACGGCACTAGCTCGCTCGGCGCCCGCTGCGACGCGTGCGCGCCCGGACACTGGGGCAGCCCGCTCAACGGCGGCGTCTGCCAGCGTGAGTCCCCCGCCTCCTCCTATACCCACGGCACTAGCTCGCTCGGCGCCCGCTGCGACGCGTGCGCGCCCGGACACTGGGGCAGCCCGCTCAACGGCGGCGTCTGCCAGCGTGAGTCCCCCGCCTCCTCCTATACCCACGGCACTAGCTCGCTCGGCGCCCGCTGCGACGCGTGCGCGCCCGGACACTGGGGCAGCCCGCTCAACGGCGGCGTCTGCCAGCGTGAGTCCCCCGCCTCCTCCTATACCCACGGCACTAGCTCGCTCGGCGCCCGCTGCGACGCGTGCGCGCCCGGACACTGGGGCAGCCCGCTCAACGGCGGCGTCTGCCAGCGTGAGTCCCCCGCCTCCTCCTATACCCACGGCACTAGCTCGCTCGGCGCCCGCTGCGACGCGTGCGCGCCCGGACACTGGGGCAGCCCGCTCAACGGCGGCGTCTGCCAGCGTGAGTCCCCCGCCTCCTCCTATACCCACGGCACTAGCTCGCTCGGCGCCCGCTGCGACGCGTGCGCGCCCGGACACTGGGGCAGCCCGCTCAACGGCGGCGTCTGCCAGCGTGAGTCCCCCGCCTCCTCCTATACCCACCACGGCACTAGCTCGCTCGGCGCCCGCTGCGACGCGTGCGCGCCCGGACACTGGGGCAGCCCGCTCAACGGCGGCGTCTGCCAGCGTGAGTCCCCCGTCTCCTCCTATACCCACGGCACTAGCTCGCTCCGGTGTAGGTTGCATGATGTGCTGGTGTAACAGGTGTTCAATACAACGAAGAAATAAATCGGTCCGAGTACAAGGAGTGTGTCGGTTTAAGAGTCGCGCATAACAAATTCCTATTCTGGGACCTGCAGACTATCTACAGGAAACCATCTCAAATTTACTTTACCATATGTAGGACCAACTGATCTTTACAACCTTTTGTATTCTGTTTTTTATATACTTTAGATGCATAGAGTACTATTATTATTCATTCATTTATTTATTATTTCATTTCAGCGTGCGAATGCAATGCGCAAGCAGTCGCGTGCGCACCGGACACCGGCCGCTGCTATTGTAGCACGAAGGGACTCGCCGGGGACCGCTGCGACAAGTGCGACAACACCAACCATTACCATGCTGATCTATACAACAAGGGTGCCTGTTACTGTAAGTATTCAAAATTAACAAGTAGCAAAGATAGACGGTAGATATATTATAAAAAAGGGTCTCGTACAAAACGTTGTCTACTGGATCTAAGTTTAAACCATTCCTAATGCAATTATATTTATATGTTCAATGAAAAAAGATATTGAATATAAAATGTATAATACATTTTCACCTTGTTCCAGATGACCTAGCAGTAGATTACCAGTTCACATTCAACTTATCAAAGAAGGAGGATCGCCATCTGTCGGCGATCAACTTCCGCAACGCGCCGGTAAAACCGGACGTGGATGCGGACTTTAGTATAACGTGCTCGGCACACGCGCGCATGAACCTAACAGTGCGCACGCGTAGCGAGCCTTCAGAACGTACACTTTTCAGCGATGTCAATTGCACCAACTTCCGGTACAAGTGAGTACATCCGTCCACTCTATATTACTCGAGTTGTTATGACTTCTTCTGGTTGGCTATGGAACCCAGTAAAATATATTTTTAACTACATTATTAAAAAATATTTATATATATATTTAGTTATCCATAAATTAGTTAATTTTTTTTATTGATATATATTGTCTTATGTAATCAGTTAAGTTCGACTCCATATATAGTCTTTTATGAATGATAATGGAATGATGGACCCGCCTAAGGTTTTTATGAATAGTAATGGAATAGCGCACCCGCCTGCGCTAACGATTTACGTGGGCAGAGCTCCAGTAGAGGGTGATAAGATGAACATGAGCTCTCGTCAGATAGCCCATCATGAGAAATTCACTAGCATTAATGACAAATTTGTCATGATAGTTTCCAGAGGGCACCGCGTTGAGCACCACCTGACATGGTAAATTGCTAGTATTGGGGTTATTAGTCCCCTTCCCACCCTCCATATATATTTTAAATTCCAACATCAAAGCTGTTGCAGGCCCGCCAAGATTATATTGATAGTAATATCAACTGAATTAACATACTTTTCACTTTACGATCACAAACTTACGGGTTTGGTTTATTTGTGGAAACCGCAAACAGATCGCAAATAAAAAAATAGTGATATGAATATTTTTTCTTAATTTAATCAGAAATTCAATATAACAACGCATAGAGCGTTCCATTACAGGTTCGCGAAGTCGGAACATTCGTTCGGCGTGGAAGACAATATCACACTCACAACGTTCTTTGTGTACGTGTACGACTTCCGGCCGCCGCTCTGGATACAGATATCGTTCTCGCAGTATCCAAAGCTGAATCTGCAGCAGTTCTTCATCACGTTCTCGTCGTGTTTCCTCCTACTGTTGCTGGTGGCGGCAGCCTTGTGGAAAATCAAACAGGTATTGTTGCTATGAAGATTAGATTGATACACAGGATTAGAGTCAAATAGTCGTCAGAACATTTAACTGCAGCAAACAATCGTTATTAGATATGCTGCGTTGACATTTATCTATATCTATGCCATTATCTGTATCTGTATTGTAAAGAAGAAATCTATATTTTATTGTTTGTTTTTAAAGTTAAAAAAAATTCGTAATGTCGGATGCCGAAAATCATTTAAACCTCTATTTGTTATTTTCCTATTGAATTAATTGTAGCAATTCATTGTAAGATGTATTCTAATTGGACCTTCATTTAGACACTCATTATTTTCATCCTTTTATCTTTACAGAAATATGACCTATATAGAAGAAGGCAGCGGTTATTTGTAGAGATGGAACAAATGGCATCGCGACCGTTCAGCCAAGTTTCCGTTGAAATGGAGAGGGGTTGGATGGGTGGCGGTAAGTGCACTGCTATATATTCATATACATATAGTTTGAACATATTTAGTTTTATTTTGTATTATTCGTACTTTATGTAGTACGGGTCCCTCCCTAATGGATGAGATTAATAGTAATGGGGTCCACAAGGCCCCTTCAAGAGGTAAGATAATTTCTTTGCCCCGCCTTCAATTATGCGGGCTACTACTTAAGAAAGTGTTGTCCGTTGCGTCCCTGTAAATGAGTACATATTTATTAGTCTCTGGGGCACCATTGAGTCGGGTTTCTAAAAGTAACTTAAGTTCTGAAATCTACGCTTGGGTTTAAATAATAAATAAATTCAGGGTGCGGGGTGCCCGCGCCGGTGGCGCTGGAGCCGTGCCGCGGGGGCCGCGCGGCGGTGCTGTCGCTGCTGGTGCGGCTGCCCACGGGCGGCACGGGCCGCGCGCCGCCGCTGGGCGGGCTGGCGGTGGCCTCCGCGCTCGTCACGCTCGGCCACCACCACGCGCCCACCGCGCCCGCCAAGCGGCCCCGCCACCACTGACGGCCGCCGCCGGTGACGCGACCGGTACGTACCCCACTCGGTAGTCGTACATTGACCCCGCCGCCGGGCGGGCTGGCGGTGGCCTCCGCGCTCGTCACGCTCGGCCACCACCACGCGCCCACCGCGCCCGCCAAGCGGCCCCGCCACCACTGACGGCCGCCGCCGGTGACGCGACCGGTACGTACCCCACTCGGTAGTCGTACATTGACCCCGCCGCCGGGCGGGCTGGCGGTGGCCTCCGCGCTCGTCACGCTCGGCCACCACCACGCGCCCACCGCGCCCGCCAAGCGGCCCCGCCACCACTGACGGCCGCCGCCGGTGACGCGACCGGTACGTACCCCACTCGGTACTCGTACATTGACCCCGCCGCCGGGCGGGCTGGCGGTGGCCTCCGCGCTCGTCACGCTCGGCCACCACCACGCGCCCACCGCGCCCGCCAAGCGGCCCCGCCACCACTGACGGCCGCCGCCGGTGACGCGACCGGTACGTACCCCACTCGGTACTCGTACATTGACCCCGCCGCCGGGCGGGCTGGCGGTGGCCTCCGCGCTCGTCACGCTCGGCCACCACCACGCGCCCACCGCGCCCGCCAAGCGGCCCCGCCACCACTGACGGCCGCCGCCGGTGACGCGACCGGTACGTACCCCACTCGGTACTCGTACATTGACCCCGCCGCCGGGCGGGCTGGCGGTGGCCTCCGCGCTCGTCACGCTCGGCCACCACCACGCGCCCACCGCGCCCGCCAAGCGGCCCCGCCACCACTGACGGCCGCCGCCGGTGACGCGACCGGTACGTACCCCACTCGGTACTCGTACATTGACCCCGCCGCCGGGCGGGCTGGCGGTGGCCTCCGCGCTCGTCACGCTCGGCCACCACCACGCGCCCACCGCGCCCGCCAAGCGGCCCCGCCACCACTGACGGCCGCCGCCGGTGACGCGACCGGTACGTACCCCACTCGGTACTCGTACATTGACCCCGCCGCCGGGCGGGCTGGCGGTGGCCTCCGCGCTCGTCACGCTCGGCCACCACCACGCGCCCACCGCGCCCGCCAAGCGGCCCCGCCACCACTGACGGCCGCCGCCGGTGACGCGACCGGTACGTACCCCACTCGGTACTCGTACATTGACCCCGTCGCCGGGCGGGCTGGCGGTGGCCTCCGCGCTCGTCACGCTCGGCCACCACCACGAGCCCACCGCGCTGACTACTATATCTTTGAAATGGTTTTCTGCTAATCCTAATGGGCCACTGGGAACCAGCGTTGAGCCTACGCTCTGCTCATCTTCTGGTAGGTGGTAACCATCGCTTTTTTACCTGGATAGCACTACGGACGTAACGGTATTAGGTAACAACTGTGATACCATTCATGCTCTGTCATTCCAGACATCTATGATGGCATATCTCTTATTTTATAATTTCACTGCTAAATAGCGCCCTATAATGTCGGCTGAAATAGGCGATACTGAAGTACGAGATAACTATTAACAGTCTAGATTTTGATATCTTCGTATGAAATAGCATGTCAAAAACTAATCACTACATGTAAATACATCTTTATTTATTTTTACTGTTATTGATCCCTTAGTATTTACTAAAAATTGCAAAGCAGCTAACAGTTGTTTTCACAATATTCTCAAGAATAATACTATCGCAAAACAGTGTTAGTAATATTGAAGAACATGCATTTTATCGTTTATGTGAAAAATTGTGAACGTCTTATATAAATAGTATGACCTTCATTATAGTAGCATCATTGTACATAAATAATTTCTTGTTTCAGATAAAAACACCAATGTATATAAAGTACGTATAGTTAAGTGCTGTATATATATGATACATTATAGTGCATTGCTCAAACCGTAATGTTCAGAAGATAATACTCATAGTGTTTGTTCGACCGACGGGATAAACAAATAAAAATAGATCTTATATCAGAGCCTGATGATATAAGTTTAAATAACATCTAAAGATTATATTTTAATATTTTTCTATATAATATTTCAGTTGAAAAAAAAAAAAGATTACATATTTATTTTCTTATATTTTCAATTTTATTTTATGTCAATAGTGTTTAGAGTTTAATCTCATATCATTTGTAATATTGGTAAATGTCAATTAATGACAGTCTATAGCCGCTGATTTTATAGTCTACAGTTTTCATAAATGTGAATATCATTGAAAAATGGGCTTATTTATTTTATACACATTGCATTAGGTTTTTGTCATTTTTTCAATTGTACATAAAGTAGACAACAGGTTTACTTACGTTCTCAAGAATCAATATTTTAGGCTGTTGGCAGCTTTGAAGAAAGCATTGCGTTTGCGTCAGACTGTTTGCTTTATGGTTTCATATTTATGTATGTTTGTAATGATTATTGTTAGTTAATAAATATTTTTGTTACAACATAGTCTCTCCCGTTCCACACAGTGCTCTATATCAATTTTATTTTACTCAGCTAATTACAAACATATAATTATTGCCATTGTTAACAAACGTTGATATATAGTTACATATACATATGTACAGTAGTTTCGTTTAGTCACTGAAGATAATATATTACAATATTATTTACTATTTAGATTTTATGAAATCATAAACTTCCGCGTACGAAGTTGCCAAATGTATGTTTTATATATATATAATAAAAATTCACCTAGAAAATTAGGGCTGCTAGTGTATTACAATGGAGAAATATATAAATGGGCATTGTAATAATAAAGTCCAATCCAGTCGATGTTTTAATTTAATGATTATTATTTAATGAAATGTATTTTTTATTATAGGCTGTCTTATTTATTATTATTTTTGTATTAGCATAAGAACTTATAATTGAAAACGCACGCGTTTTCTACTTTGCTTGTAAAAGTGAATTTTGCAATTTTCATACTAAACGTAAGTTAATGTAATGGTAAAAGTATTGGTCATTTCCTCTAGGATGAAATAAATCGCATATACCTATAGATATTGTTATATATATATTTTGTACACTAGTCTTCATGTATTATGACGCATGTTAATTTTGATTATATATTTACCTAATATCGAAATTGAGATCATCGTTTATATAATGTATTAATTATAAACTTAAATTAAATTTAACTAACTCCTGCATTGGAATAATCTTATTAATCTGCAGGTAAGAACTGTCTCGATCAAGTCAACCTTCAAACACGTACAAACAAATACGTATCGGTCCATTTGTTTAGGAACTACGATGCGACAGAGAAATAAAACAAGAAATCAGGTAAATATATATTTCACAAAAATATGTACTTCTTGTTAAACGATACTGGATTTATATCGGATAGGAAGTAGTATCTATTTTTCTCATTTAAGGCCTTTATTGATAATTAACAGAGGAAGTGATCATTAAATCATAGGCGATCAAAAACTAATTATAAATAATTATAGCTTTATATTATGCAGCTCAGAATTGGCCCAGAGTTGCCCACGATATCGTTAGTACTATGTAATAACGATATATAAATTTGTAACATCACAAAAATATGTGAATAGTATTTACTGTGTACGTAAAAATCACTGTTACACGTAATATTTGGATGTATATAGCAGCTTTGAGAAAATTATTGTATTTTTCTTACGACTGATGTGTAAATGATGTATAAAAGATTTCTTTTGTATGATTGCATTTAGTTGATAGGTGTTGTGTCGATACGGCGATATACTAAACATAATAATCATATAGTTATAGTTAATCCATAAATCGAGTATTCAGATAAATCCGCCTAGTTATAGAGTAATTTTAAAACCACTTTATTTTAGTTTCAGGTGTACATATATGGGGTGCAGAAAATGTAATATAATAATCATATATTGTGAACATTAAATACAATATTTAAATGTTGATGACTTACGTATCAGACAGTAGTAGGAGTTTAATAGCAGTTTTCCATTAAACAATATTTTGTATTATACAAGTATACACCATTTAAAACATTCATAGCGTTCACTGACACATGTTTAATCCTTAGAATTAGTGTACATACTAATAAGCAGAATAATACCTTTTGGGAGTTGGAGAGTTTTTTTTTATATACAACTGGTATTTGCAATATTTGCACCCTGTACTTAGATATCTCACCTATTCACGTTTCTTGCAATTGTAGATATATATATATATATTTGTTTTTGAACAATCCGTTTAATACATTTCTTTTGTGAATAATGAATCACGACTGAAATAAATTACTGTTAAGTTAAGACACAACATCTATACGTAGAATAAACTATTTGTATTATAGTCATATATTCGAAATAAACTTATTTTGTTGAGAACATATTCGATTTAATATGAAATATAGTTAAAAACCAGTTAGCTTTATATGTAACTTTTATATTTTCTCAGCAAATTTAGTGTTAATATAATAAAATTGTAGATTTACTGCCAGTTTTATGCTTTCTTTGATAAAACGTAGATGCATACAAGTCCTGCGTCGTATTTGTAAATTATAGGGATTTTTGTATCGAAAGGCGTTAAGATAGATATAATGTATGAAATGTCCTGGGTGCAAATTCCAACGTTCATTCTACTTCCAGTCATCCGTTTTTGTAGTGTTCCTATTGCTTCCTTGTATTTAATATTAGACGTTTTATAAAAACACGAAATACATCAGCAGACTGCGCAACATCACAAATTTAGAATAAAAAATTAAAATAACATATTTATAAAATGATCTCAGCATTTTTTACAATAATAATTAATTGTAAAAAATATTAGGGAGATTAGAGTAAAATTTTGTAATTTCTTATTATTCGTACACGGAATGTATTTTAAAAATATTTACAAAGAACTAATGATCACTGTCATTGTTGAAACTTTGTTATTGAAAATTTAATCTGAGATTTTAAATATGGTCAGGTTATCTCAGAGCTAGTAAGATATACAAGGGTACCACGAAATATTTTATTTAATAAAATGTTTATAATCCAGCCTGGAGATCTAGAAAACGAAGTTATGAGTATTTTTTTTAGTTCCTCATATTAGAATAAAGAATCTATCTGTAATGCCAGGTCTTTTATAGCACCGAGTTTATTACAGAACGAGGTACTAACAACTTCAATATACATATATTAAATTCGAAATATGAACTTAAGTTGTATATGACGTACAATTTAAATTGTTTCCCCTTTAATTTTTCATATTTATTAATGATGCTTTTAAAACTATGCTTTTTAACAACATAAAAAAAATCTATGTTTCTATTCAGTTTTACAGAGAAATTTAATAAATGTGATTATTTATAGACATTAAAAAAATGTTGTCCCATAAATATTAAAAAATAAACTAATTTATCCAGTTACTATGCCTCGTTTTACTCGTTAATGTTTAAATAGAGTTATAATAATAAATATATGTTAATATTTAACAAATCAACATCGAGACTACGCAATAATTATGATCAGAGTCGTAATTCTAAGGTATAAAGCAAAGACATAACATACATAAAAAGACAGAAGTCGTGAAATTATTATTAATAATAGGTGTGGGTAATGTTGTAATATTACATGTTCGAATCTTCGAGTGTAGTATTCTAATGATATGGCGATTTTGGTACATAATTATATATTTGAATAAATTTATATTAAAATCAATTTTATAAATTCTGCAATCTCATAATGTCATTTTGAGTAATTTATGACAACTGCTAACATTGTCTTATGGTTTTGGTGTGCATTACATTAAAATAGTGTATTTTATAGCGTCATAATATAGTATAGTAACCCACCCCGACTTCGCACGAGAAGTTGTGTTCTTTTTTTATAAACAGAATATAGCCTACGTTACCCTTTTATTATACAGCTTTCTATATATGAAGGAATTATTATTAACGGTTAAATAAATTATCAATTTATCCGATACAAATGAAAATCTACTATATAATATTAGTACAAATATTATTTTTAATTTTAAAAACGCTTATATTCCACCACTATATTGTTCCCATGCCATAAAAAGATTATATTCAGCACCACTCACCAAGCCATCAACATGCCTGGAATATTGTATTATTATACATTTATGTATTATGTCGATGATATTGGTGAGTATCGTAACTTTAATAAGGGTTCCCTTATTGTAATTACATTGTTCTCTAATATTTAGCAACATGGAATATTTTTTGCTTATATTTACTATTTAAAGTCGTTTACAGTCAAAATCATACTAGAACTACCTATTTTGATTTAGAGTTAACGCGAAAATGTCTATAAATTATAAAATAATTATGGTTTGTGATTTATTTAATTCAACTTTACCCACACCAAGTCACCGATGTAACATAGTAATGTAATACATAATATGTCTTGTGTTACTGACGTATAAAGATGTAGCATGTAAGTTAACGTGTAAAGCGTTGTAAATATTCGGACACATAAATTATTGTATTTCATAATAAAATAATCAATCAGTTATTGTTGTCTCATTAGTACTCTCCCCCCCCCCTGCGCCCTCCGCCCCTTCAACCCAAATTATCGACGAAATTAGGCTCTGGTTTTGGTACTATTAGTATTAATATAACAGCATCACACAGCTATGACGCGCTCGTTATACTATTGTGCGCGCCGTCCGATTTAAAATACTATCCATTTGCTAGTTTTACTCACTAGAACCCGTTATCTTTCGTTCCCGAACAAACGACGACTTTTGACCTTATATTCAACCTATAACTTCTTTTATTACCGAACGTGGCGCTGTCCAAAATGTCACCCGTAATTACAAAAATACAAACCTGAAGTAAACTGCAAATTTGTGTTTTTATATACTTTTTTATTACATAGTATTTTTTGTTATAATTTTAGATGAGTTTTTGGACCTTTTGTCCTTTTTATATTTCAATGGTAAGTAGATTGAGATGTCATACAGATTTATCTATTGAACTACTATTATTAGGTAAATAAATTGAAACCAATAAATAGTTTCAATTTATTTATCTAATAATAGTAGTCAAACTTCATTATTGTTCTGGCTGTTATTTTAAACAGGGAATTTATTTTGTTTGCTAATTATTTTAAATTATTCTACATACCTACTAAAAACTTACAAAGTATCTAATGGTATGTAAGCTTTAATATTAAAATCCGTAATTTTATATAAAAATATATGTTCAGCTCATGTGCCCAATTAAGATGTAGTTACTTATAAATATTCAATTATTCACTACAGGCAATACAAAAATGTCAACACAATCGCCAATCGCACTGTATATAGTATTTATCCCCATGCTAGTCGCCTTAATTGATGACCAACCTTACTGCACAGTCCGCTATCAAAGACTGTGCCAGGGGAAAGGTCGACATGTCGCGTGTCAGTTCCCTGAGGTAAGTCTACTTTTGCTATAACTAGATACTTTATAAGTAAAGCTTTTAAGCGTAATCTGGTAAGTAAGAGTATGTAATATTACCTTATCTGTAGTAAGAGTAATCTGGATTATTTGCATTAAATTTGTGTTAAATTAAAATAAACTAATAATTGTAAATTTCTATATTATTTTTTATGATATTAGCTGCTTTTTTATATAACTTTATTTCAGGCAGGACCCGGAGAATTATGTCAAAATTACACTGAAATAAAATTCAATACTGAGTTGAGAAATTTTATAACTCACTACATAAATAGGTATGGTAAGAATAAATTCACAAGAATTAATGTATTAATACAATTGTATCAGGATTAATTGTTTGGTTGTATATTGTAGACGCCGTCAGCGAATAGCAGCCGGTAATGAGAGAGTGCGCGGAGGCATGCAATTACCCAAGCCTGAAGTCATGATGTTTGTTGTAAGTTTTTTTTTCTGAATTGGTAAATAGTGCCTACCTAAGAATGTGAGCAAAAATGTTAGTTATTTCATGCTGGTAAGTGGAAATTCATACACTTATTACACTAACGTCATTATCCGTATTGAGTCCAACACATGAGCATAGGTATCCACTATCCACCCAAGGTACTTACCATTTTAATTCTAAACTTAATTGTTGAAATATGTATTGGTTCCTTTATAACCAGGGATAAAGATATACTCGATAGCGGTTTACTAAACACACTTTACTTCGATGGTCGCGGGTTCGATTCCTCGCACGATGCAAGCATTAGGTAGTATTGTTTGTGTGTTTTCAATGTATATGCATACATAATGCATTAAAAATACATCTATGAGTTGTCTAGTACCCGTAACACAATTCTCTTAACTTGGGACTAGATGGCGCTGTGTGAATTATCTTGTTTTATATGTATTGTTATCATATACCTAATAATATCTAAATAAGACCTTTACTTTTGAATTCACTTACATAGTCTCTTTTCTTATTAACTTCTAAATGCTATGGCTTTATTTAAATGTCACACGGCATATCATTATAAACTTTATATTATGGTACCTAATTAGTGTGCGTAAGTTAATATCTCATCTGATGTTTTCTCTTCAGGAATGGGATCGTGAATTAGCTGTATTAGCGCAAAGATTAGCTGACCAGTGTGACTTTGTACACGACGAATGCAGAGCCACAGGTTATAATTAGTACTTACCTAAATAACTATACGTCTACCTAAATCTATATTGAAACCTTAAAGTAGAAGAATAAATAGTAGGTGCCTTTAATTTAAACACCCAATACACGTTGTTTTTTTATCGTAGTTCGATATCCGTACGCTGGGCAGACAGTGGGAGAGGTCCGCTGGCGCCGCTCCGGTGAATCAGACGAGCTGACAGCTCAGAGGGCCATCCGCAGGGTATTTGACGCGTGGTGGGGCGAACGGCGGCGGGTCCAGCCAAAGCAGCTCACTGCACCTTTTAGACTGACAGCAAAGTATCTATCTATCTTTTACAATCGTGTTTGTTATATAATGGAATATCTTTTATCACTTGTGTGCTGTGATACATCAATATATCTTAGATAAGTATAAAATTCTCGTGTCACAACGTTATTTGCATTACTCCCCCGAAACAATTTTTTGAAATTTTATTTGCATATTCAGTAGGTTCGAGAATCGCCTCCTACTTATTTTTCATACCCCTAAGCGTTAAGGACTGTCCACCCCTTAATAAATATATTTTTTTATTTTTTCCTCCTAATATTTATTTTATTATAGTTTAGCATAGAAAAATATATAGGTACAACCCTAAATTTTTGCCCTTCTGCTAAAAGCTAAAACCTATTTTTTTATTAGTGATTTTAATTTATATAGCATAACAACGTTTGCAACATAAATATAGTCATAAATATAGTAGTTTATATATTTAATACTAGTAATAAATATATAAACGTTGAAATTAATATTTTTGGGGTGCAGGGGTGCTGTATGGGGTCATTTCAGTCAGTTAGCGGTATGGACTCTTCGTGCTATCGGCTGCGGGGCAGTACGACACGGTGCCAGCTATCCTCGTCTACTTCTCGTCTGCGATTTCTCGCACACCAACATGCTCGGCCAGAAGACTATATCACCAGGACCTATGGCTTCTTGCCCGATTCACACTGCTAGAAGATCTAAGGCTTACCCACTACTCTGTGTTAGCGTGAGTATATATTTTATCGATTATACAACGTTTATAAATACTTTTTGATCTTTTGCATTGCTTCTTTTATAGTCTCATGATGTCTCCAGCAATTGTAGTTCAATAGTACGACGTCCAACATTCTTCTTCCATAACTATTGACTAATATTATAGGGTCTACTGAGCGTACTGTCTTACGATTACTTATTTATTATTTGTTCATTGTACCAATATTGACAGATAAAGCGTTACAAAGAAAAGTAGTTATAAATGTTGTATTATTGGTAATACAAATTGCGTATGGTAAAGTTACTTCCTGTCAGGTTAGAAAGAAAGCTTCACTGGAATTAAAGCCTAGTGAAGAGTTGGAACTCGATGAAGAAGGCGATGATATGGACGAAGACGATAACGATGATGTTTCTAATGATAACGTTATCGATCAAGACGGAGTATTCTTAAAGGAATTTACTAGGAAACGACTGACAAACAAACGTGTAAAAACAAAGGTTAAACAATCAACTAGGGATATGCAAACGGGTACTACTAAAAAGGAGAATGAGTCGTTATTGGTAAGAGGTATGAATGCATACAAAAATCATAATAGGTCTACATGGTAATAAACTTATAACTATAGAGAGCTTTTATCTGAATTTGGGGTTTTTGTGCCAAACTATATTGCAAAAAGATTATTTAAAATAATTTCTAAGCTGACATATCCTGTAGTAGACTCTACCTACCCACATATAAATAGTATAAGATAGTTCTAAAATGTCTTAATATAGCACCTACTAGATCTTTAGTAATATGAAATTAATTTGAGTAAAATAATTAAGTAGTCATGAACCAATTTTAGATCGTATTTTTTTTTATTATTAGCTTTATATAAATTATGGGATCAGTTATTAGTAAATTGAACTTGATGATAGATTTAAGTAATTAGAGGAATTTAAATTAAATATAAGAAATTTACAACTATTACTTTGCGTAATTCGACTTAGGTAGTACTTACATTAAATTTGACCAATCCACCTTTTTTGATCTCTAGTCTCAGATATGAATAAGGCCAAGCCAACTAGAGCACGTATGTTACACGAATTTGATGATATGTTGCAAATACGAAAGAAAGCAGACATAAAGAGTCGTGTCAATGGAAAATATAACGAGTGGTACAGAAAACGGCCTAATTATGGAAAATGGCGGTATTTGTATATTTACTACTATTATAATGATAGTGTAAATAAATTAGTAGGAAAAATGAGTTGAACTTATTCGTTAGAAGGTTGCCGGCAATTACGACGATTTATTTTATTGATATTTAAGCAATTTAGTTCATCTTAGATGTTTTTTAGATAGTAGTTTTCATATGAGATATTTTTTTTTGTATTAGGTTGCGGACTTGTGCAAACATATTTACAATAAATTATTATAGTATTTTTTTATCTATATTGTAACAGTATATTATTTTTGTCTACAGAAAGAACCGTAGAAATAAACGTTACTTTTGTCAATTGGGCTGCAGCTTTCCGTCTTAGTTATTCTTGATTAAATTTTAGTCACTGTTCTCATTTTATTTAGTTAAGTACACACCTATATTAATTTACAGCGAAAGTCATGAGAGGTTATCGGAAATGGAAATGACATCACCCTCTGTACATTCCAAACTTCACGTAATGGATATCAACGGATCTGACATGGCGGAGTTTAAAAGACTATTCACTAAATCTCACGAGACTACAATTGTAAGCTAAATATGTTTTCGTCCATTATTTTATCAGAGGGCTCATCTATTTCAGCAGCTAAGCAGCTTTCTTCATAAGTAGGGTGCGATTAAGCAGTGAACTTACAATACTATGCTATTTTTTTAATGGATGATAATGGTATGGTTCAACTATCAGTTTACGCTGGCCGGGCACCAGTGGAGAATGATTGAATGAGCATGAGGTCAAGTCAGTTATCCCATCGTGGTAAGTTTAACAGGAATTTATCACGATGGTTTCCAGGGGGAACCGCGTGGTGGTCAACCTTAAATCCCAATTAATGGGAACGACTTACTTTTGAATTTTAAACAGGCAACATATTAATTCCATATTTTGTGATCAATAAAATAGCTGATATACATTACAAATCTGAATTGGATTGTAATCAATATTGTAATTAAATTCCTGAACTCACTTTTCTTGTTGCTCACATAGTATCTAGTACTAGATACTTATTGTATGAAATTATTCAAACCAATTAGTTTAGAGTATCTAATGTTAGATAATACTCTTATTACACAGGAGTCGCTTATAATTAGACATCGATGGAAGCAAAGCAGAGATCGACCACGTAGGTAACTTTTTCATATTATTTAAGGACTAGTGTGGGCAATAACTTCTTCCATTACACGTGCGTTCCCTCATATTAATGAAAATGATAATATATTGAATTAACAACATAATCTCACATACCGTCACCCAGCACGACCGTTACAACAGACTGGGCAATCAAAGGCATTGTCAACTGTCGACGTTGTGGTTAACGCAAGGCTTGATATGCCTACATCGTATATGTGAATCCAAAGTAGCATCGTGCAAGCCTACCCCTGTCTCATGAATAAATGTTTGATTTGATATTGAAGTTTCTTTCGCCTGAGGTTTAATAAAAAATATGAATGCACTCAAAAAGATTTTTTGCATCGCCCAAATTTGAACTCACTAATTTTAGACGTAATTTAGGGTAAGCTACGCTCTTAACTAATAATTTGTTATTATTAAAATAAGAGTTCGTTTAGAAAGAAGTTATATACATACATCTATGTTCTATTTTAAAACAGCAGATGTATTACGATCTATTCTTCTTAACATGTGGTTTAAATAGCTTATAATAAAATCTTTATAATTAAATTTTGCGTTTTTCACTTTTTATACCAAACAAGTTCAGAAGCAATAAAATTTTATGATCCTGTCCTGTGCTCTTGGAATGAATATTATACCTACCACTGATTAGGTTTAATACGGCTGTTACTGAAATTGGGATATCTAAATAAATAAATAACTTATATATTACAGGCCTGGAGCTAATGCTCTATTGAATGTGCCAACAGCGATGCAGTCCCGACGGCCTTCTGTTGTAAGTTATTCACGTCTATACAAATGTATCTATTATTACTGAATAAAGATCATAACGCTGGTATTACAACGCTTTTATAATAAATAAGTATATCTAAAAATTAATATCTATAACAGATAAATATTATATAACATTTAAATAGATTTGATATAGGTTCAGTATCTAAATAAAACAAATTGGACACTGAGTAAGACAGTACCTAAAGCCTGATGAAACTAAACGTTTTATTTATTTATTTATTTGCAGCCGTCACTGATTTTGGATAAAGATGACGTAGAACAGTTGTTCCGGGATACAGGCTTCAATCCTAACTGGAGAAGAAAAGACGTTCATGTAACAAAAACTAATCCGAATTAAAAAAAGTACATATAAAGACACAAAAAATATTTATATATCTACTGATAATAGTTGAATTTGTGTACCCACTACTGAGCAAAAGCCTTTCTTTCACGTCTCAGTTACTACTAATCTGACTGGACCGTAGTCATCGTAATCGTAACCACCTATACTTTGGTATAGGTTCAGGATTTGGTTTAGTTTAGAAGATATGTCTACGGAAATATGAAACAATAATTCAAAAATCATATTACACCTCTTTGCAAAAAAATATGTAAGTTGTTCGCATAAGAGGTTGTTGGTCTGTCAAAATATTTTTCCTTTTAAAAATTAACCACCAAACACCATTAGGTACATAGTTGGGAAATTTTCGAAAATGCAAATTAAATAACAATTAACAACTTATTGATAATCTGTCAATACATCTATTCTAAAAATTGTATACTATAATCCATTTTCAAATTTGTAAATTCTCTACAATCCAAATTTTGTTATATAAATCATGTCAAATTGAGGAAATTCTACGTAATATTAATATACTTCGGTGATGTGCTGTTGTTCTCCATGCTGCCACTGTGGACGCTGTCTCAGATGTATTTTTTGTATAACACTATGTGCAATGTTGTTTCATTTGTGCGGCTGTGATGAAGTCTGCGCTGATTATGAAGCTGACGATTAATCCGGTTTGACAATAAATTTTTAAAATGCTTTGGTCGTTTCTCTTAATACGAGTGCAGCATTGTACTTCAAAGGTTTACTCCAGCAAACCTTTGAAACCTTCAAAGGTTTGCTGGAGTAAACCTTCGAAGTACAATGCTGGTATTATTTTAGTTATGATATGGCATATAGGTAAACACGGAACAATAAGTTACTGTTCTTATTTTTATTTTATTTTAAATATCTACAGTTCGTAGCAAGAAATTTACCAAAATGTACCAAAACTTTTCGATGGTGTTTAAATGAATCTATCGTAGGTATATAACTGTTATAGATATACCTAGTACATAATTTTAATTCAGTTGAGAGAGCGAGAGAGTAGGTAAGACTACCTACTATTATATGTTTTAAAACCATTAATTCGGTCCTCGATATTACTTTTAAACAACTACAAAAATTGTAAGGATTCACTACCTCCATTCCAGGTTTTGGACCGGATACATAAATAAAAAATGAGTCCTATACATGACTCGTCGAATAGAGAAAATTGTAACAAAAACATCACATACGTGATTCTATGACACATTACATCAAATATTTGTACATATGTCAAATTTAATCGGAAGTTATCTATAAACAAAAATTTATGTGAATTATTTATTTTATATAATAGACATTAAAACTAAAACAATGAATTTGTTCAAGTTTACTTCGAAATTTTCAGCATTAGTGGTACCAATTGGAAAACGGTTTAGTCAACAATGTCAAATGTTTGTATTATTATATATAGGTATGTAATTACTAGCTGTTCCGGCAGACGTTGTTTTGCGATATAAATTAATAACGCTATAAAAAAATAGGGGTTAGTTATAGAAGGGTGAAAATTTAGGGTTGTATGTATTTTTTAAGGACACATAATAAAAAAATATAATTACAAAAATTTTGCTCAAAAAATAATGTTAGGGGTGGACAACCCTTAGGGGTATGAAAAATAGATAGTAGCCGATTCTCAGACCTACTGAATATGCATATATATTTATTTCATAATATTTTCTGTCAAGCCGTATCAGAGGAGGTAACTAATATTGTGACACTAGAATTTTATAAGATAAAACTTGTATCTAGTTCTACGTCGGGGCCAGATTTAATGCAGTTTCTTTCATCTCATTTGATGCCTACTTTATAACACATCGAACAAAACATAAACTCTAATAAAATATATACCTTTTCTCCTCCATATAAAGCTTGACGGGTATACCTACCTACTACTCATCAGGATATCTATACATCTCTACCTAACTCATTGCAGAAAGGATCAATAGTTATTCATATCGACAAGATCAGTGCTAAGTTGTTTTATTTATATTCACTCAGATAAAATTACGTGTCCTAGATATAGGTATTTAACTTAATCAGTTATTAATAATAAATAAAACTAGTAATTAACGTATCAGTCGATATATGTGTTGTGTTAAATTATAACACTGGTTGCAGAGTCAATAAGAAACCACGGCACCTGATCTGCTTCAAGCAATGGACCGCGGAGATGGTGATGGACGTCATAAACAGTGCGATAAATCTCAAGTATTGCTTCCGTGATACACACAACCAAAAACTGGTGTAGTTTTTATTGATATTTTTTTAAATAGCATAAAATTTTTATCTAGTAAAATCTGCTTATAGTCGATCTGAATCTATTAAATAGTTCTTCGTTTTTATAGAATATTTTATCAGATTCAAAGGTGATGATATTGCAAGAAATCAATGAGCCCGTACTCAACATGGCTGTGTCTAAGGCTGCAACGCTATTAGGAGCTTACGATGTTCACATTGTAGATCATCTGGTGTGGGACCATGATTATCTCGGCAGGTAATTGTGGGATTACATTTGGAATTACAATATGTACAACGGCGGGTGTACCATTAGATTTCGACGATTTTGACCTCGGTGGTCTGGCAGTTTAGCACACCGCTTTACTACCGATGGTTGCGGGTTCGATTCCTCGCATGGCAAAATCATTTATTTGTGCCAATGATATTTTTATATCGGTCTGAGTGTTTTTTATGCACAATATGTATCTATGTATTTAAGTAAAAAAATATTTAAGTATTTCTAGCAGTTGTATAGTAATCATAACACAAGCTTACCTTGGGACTTGACTACTTGGCCGCTGTGTGAATTGGCTTATTATTGTTGAAGAAAACCGTAATTATTTCCTTCTACAGAGTGTTCTCGTACATGTCAGACGCCATATTTGTAGCGACCACGACGCATATGTGCGTCCAGCGGTTCGCCGAACAGTCCTCGGTACCTGTAACTTGCATGAAATCAAGAACCCACGCCAGTATACAATCCCTCTCTACCGTCATGTCCATAGTTGTTAGTATCTTATTCTACAAAGTAGACGTATGATCGTAATTAGAGCAATAGCTCGCAACTGCAGCCATTCGCTGTAGAAAAGTACGTACTTTTACAAAGTAGTCGTCCAGTAAAAATCCGCGCTGTTGCTTAGCTGCAGCTATACTTATACTAAGCAAAGTTCCTTATGACAGGTAGGTAATGTAGACATTTTTAATATAAAGTCGCTGATTTTTTCTAACTGTTTCTCTCAAGGCAAAATATTCTTTTATGTAAGTAATTGGAAGGTCAATTTAGCTGACGGCACCCGATGGTAAGTGGTAGCCATCAAATATATACATGAACAGCACCACGGTCATGCACTCGCATTCGGGAGGACTTATGTAATGCCTCTTATTTTGTAATTTCACTGCTGAATCTCACTCTGCACCTGAAACAGCGTACAAAGCTGCTTAGCGGCTGAAATTGGTGAGACTGAGGTAGCCAGCAGACGAAATTGCAGTTACAGTCTACCTAAGTGAATTGTTTTTAATATTATGTTACAGGAAGAATTTGGCTCTATGAAAGGCGTAAATATATGTTACTTGGGAGCTCCACATCCAGTACTGAATTCTTATTTGCTTCTCTGCCCAATGTTGGGTGCCAATATTAGATTTAAATGTTGCTGTATGGTTAGTAATAATCTGTTATACCTAACTTTTTTATTCATGACGAAATGGCAGTACCCTCTCCGCTGATGGTAAACGCTGGCGGGATCACAGTGAAAAATGATATATGTAGGTATATGTATTTCTACATACATACTGTAATATATAGAGTGACTAAATCGAGTCAGTTAACCCATTGTGTTAATTTTACCAGCAATTAACCACGATGGTTTCCAGGACGGCGTCGCTCGAAACGCTAACAATGGGGGTAATGGTAATAGAAAAATACTATAATCCCCTTTTCTATACCTATATACTGATATTAAAAAACTTAGTGTGTTCATAATTACTCATTCAATAGAGGGGGATAAAATATAAATGTGCTTACGTCATGCACATTTATGTTTTACGTGCAATTGCGGTGAAATTAAGAATTAATTAATTTATTGTTTGATATGCACTGAAAGTCTCTATCGATATCCCCCAATTTTATGGGGATCGAAATTTCGACAGCCTCGCCGAAGTTCGAACTTCTAGCGGTGCCCTCAAGCTAGTTGCATCCAGCAGGAGTTGGCCCTGATCCGCTCCATAAGTCCATCCGGCGGGTTAGGAGTACCATTGCACTCGACCCCTATCATTCGGTAAATCTGTAAAGGCCAGCTGTATCCAACAGCATTAAAATGGTTCGAAACAAAATTGTTAACTGAGTATAAATTGGTATATTTACCTATAAATTGGTATATTTACAGAAATGCCCTCTCAGTCCGCTATTATTTAAAGCAAGCGAAGAGCTGGCGAGCAAATCATATACAGAAATGAAAGAGTGCTTAAACAAAGAAGACGTGCTTCAAAATGCATGTGTGGTCATAGCGGGACCTACAACCACCAAACATGATAATATTGAAGAATTCCGAATAGGGATAGAGGTGTGTAATGTTAGAAGGAATACGTGGGTTGCCCCATCTAGTAATATTGGTGTTGTCTTCATAACACAAAACATGTCCGTGACCATTCACGTAGCTACAAGGATTTAATTATCAATTGAAGTAGAATATAACATATTTATATGATTGTGAACCAAAGTTCATCATACCAACCTTTATGTTACTGTAATTACAGTATGGATAGGTATTCTTCTTAATAATTACATGACTATTCATGTATCTAGTGTATATTTCACTAATAATACACATGTACGGTGTGTAGGTAATTTAGCTACTTTTTAAGTTTAATTTCTTTTATATAACATCATGGAAAACAAGCTACAGCCTACCTAATAGTAAATGTGAAGCATTGGCTATATACAAGAACTATGGGCATCATATTACAATGTGATAACCATGATACCATTGGTATTACAGAGTAATAGAGTAATTTCACTGCCTAACTGCACCACACAGCCAAACACAATTTACATAGTAAGTTTGGAAGCTAAAATACTAGCTGACAAACTATGTTTTAGTTCATCTCTAGTATTAGTCATGTACTTACTACTATCACTATATTTACTTACTATCAGCCCCTAAGAAGCAAACTACTCATACTTTAAACTGCATATAATTGGATGTTCTCTTGCAGAACATCCATATCCATATTAATACTAAAATCTAAACTAAGATTTATATTATTTTGTTTTGTATGGTATTTATGATAACAGAATTAAACAAAATAATATAAATCAATTAAGTAGTAAACTGTGTATTTAATTATTATTATAATACAGCCTAATTTGAATAAATACATAAAATTGATATTTCCAGGATATACAAAAGCGAAGTTGTTGCCAATGGATTTTCTTCCACACATGTCCTCGTGGGGAGGAAGTGGATAACAATTTATTCAACCATTACAATGCTCGGACATTCAATGCATTTGAAAATATGCATTTTATTGCAGCAGCCTTAATGGCCTATGGAATTAAAAATTACATATTTTAAATCGGGCTCTATTTGGTATAATGTATTGTTGGGAATAAGAAATTATTAGTTTTTGTCAGTGCTTAGACTTCTACATAAGTTTTTATATTATATATGTGCCTATATATTTATTTGTGAATATTAAGGACTTGTTAAAAGTTTTCTACAGTGTCTAAATTATCAATTAGAATGTGGTACTGTTATGAAAACAATACTACTGTTCTTAAATTACTACACTGAAAATTTGAATTCTGATGTTATAAGTTTCTTATATTTTATAATTCTTAATTTAAGTGCCTATCTTCAGTTAGTAAGAAAGATATGTTAATGTTAACCTTTATAAGGAGAATATTAACTTAAAAAATGATACAAGTATATGCAACAAGAGCAACAAACTATATTATACAATGATTATGATCTATCTATTCTATTACATATTAATCTTGATTTTTATATTTCCCTCTCATAAATTTAGGCAAAGGAACAACACCTGGACAAGGTACTTGTCCATACACTTCACAAATGCATGGTCTTTCACAACCAACACCAAAATTAGCCGGATTATCCTTTTTTTCTGCAGCTATTGCTTCAGCTTCCAAAACATCTTTAGATTTACCAATAGTAGATAATAAATGTTCTAATATATCTTCTTTCGATTTATTGTCTATGTCAATTAATATCTTTTTTCCATCTTCCAAATAACACTTTATGAACGGAGATGGTGTCAGATTTTTTAATGTAGCGACTTGAACATTAGGGTTTTTGTATTGAATTTGCGGAAGATACCAGAAAACAAAGTCTTTTGCACCATTATTGTTTTGTCCGAGGATGTTGTAGGCCACAGAAAATACTTTGATTTTGTCTTTCAATACCAATTTGCCAGCGTTTAAATAGTTTAATGTGCGGCGAATGGGTGCTTTACCTTTCATAAAAGGCATCTTGACTTTCTTTTCCCAATTTTTGTAGATAAATTAACGAAACTTATTAAAATAGTAGGTAAATTACTTGTATAGATGCTTCAAAATAATATTTTAATTTACTTGCTTGTTGTGAACAAAAATAAAATTATAACATCTACCTCAGTTACCTAAACCTAAAATTCGCAACCAAGGTATTTCATCAATCTTCTGTCAGTCGACTTATTGATTATTGTTTTTTTAAAGAACTTTACGGCTCTGAATAACTATTTTTTCACTTAAGTATTGCGGTTATTTTATATTTTTATTAAGTTTACGTTATAAGAACGTATATAATGAATAAATGCAAATATCAAAATACATAATTTAGAGAAATTTAAAGCAAATGACATTCACAGACATGCTCACAAAAGTCATATTTGGTTTGTCTAATGTTATTCATAGGTAAATATAAAAATACAAAATGTAAGTCAATTATAATTCATTAAAATTAAACGGAAAAGTAATCAGGGTTAAAGTCGCTTTTTTAATAACAGCAAATTGCTCTGTAGTTTTATTTATTATTTTATGTATTCAGAAGACAATGAACCTGCAACTTTGTCTGTATCATGTCAAAATTTTCAGTCTTTATGTCTACATTTATATATGCACATTTATCTACATTGATATGTAATGAAATAGTTGTCTGTATATTAAATTACAATGACTATGACTTACTCTAGTATCTTTAAGTTTTACATACAGTCTGATGCATATTCTGTTTTAATAGGGGACTTTATTTAAATGTACCCATAATCCTATGTATAGCTTCTTCGACTTGAAAATGATCATTACATAAATATTCGTCAAATAATTTCATATTTTTTTCTTTACTATGCTTAGATACGGTTGAACTAATTAGGTATATATATTGTTTTGTATGTAAAGTACATTGAGTACACAGGGGTAGGTCAATAAATAAAAAACCAATAGGTACATGTGATAGGTACCTCTATCTGTTTTTTATGAAAACTACTTTTATAAAATCTCTGAGCAGATTTTTGAACAAAGTAACGTTGATAAGCTAGTCTACGATTAAAAAAAAAATGTTAATCATCCACTTATTTAACCAAGTGTAAATTATTACCGTTGTGTTTGTAATTGTTATTCATTACAATACTAACTATCGATAAGAGTTAACATCTTTGTCATCACTTGTAAATTAAATAATTTTACATAAAACAAAAAGAAAATAAATAATGTTGTGTCTAAAATTAGGTCCCATCTGGTGGCAATACATGATCGTTACCGGCGGTAAGCTGTTTCTCACATAACATATTTATTTCTGATTAACCTCTCAATTGTTGTAATTCCCAAGGACGAACGTCTTAATCCAAAAACCTTGCCTTTTCTTAACTACTAAAATGACTTACATGAACAATTTTTGAGTTGTGTCATATCAGGAGAATATTTCTGCTGTTATGAGCTGGATTTTTCAAGCTGTGTTCCGCTTTGAAGGAAGATATGGGGCATTTAAATTACATGATACAGTTACTTAACATTATTTATTTTTTTGTCCAGTTTAATCTATAGTGAATCTATATTGAGAACTGCCAAGAAATTTACCTAAATTTATTTTTCTTTAAAGCATTATACAATAACATTATTTACTTATTTAAGTAATGTGTAAACAAAGTTAATAAACTGCTCTAATTTTTGACTTGATCTAACATTAAATAAAAATTCCACACAGGTTCCCAGAGACCTAACATCTAGATGTTTATCGAAGAGTTATGAAATAGTCATTTTTTTATCTATTTTTTTACTTTTGCAATTAACTTTTTAATAGAGAGTTGTGGCCTAGGTTTGTAACTCTGCTTACCAATTGCATAGGGGTTCACCTAATACATTGTTAGGAATTAGGGCACTAGTCACCGTTAGTAATAAAATCGTATCAATGTGATGCTTTCGTTTTCTAGCAACATTGAGTGTGCTGAGTACAGGGCTCAGTTTAGGATGGGGTTCACCAGTTCTGGTGAAATTAATGAAGATGGGAAACGGCACAGAGATGCTACTATCAAATCCAATCACTACTGAAGATGGCTCCTGGTTGGTATCCATTGGGCCACTGGTTAGCATTTTTTGTGAGTATCAGCAGTGATTTCGTTTTTATTTCAACAAGTTTTTTTTAACTATTTTAATGCAACCAGCAGTTACTGGCCTTTACAATTTCACTAAAACATCAAATGCTGGACCTTTCTTTTTTACAGCAAAAAAAAAACTCATTACTAAACTAACTTATATATAAAATTCTCGTTTCACTGTGTTTGTAACAAAAGAAATTGTGTGTTTATTCAATATGTCTGAGAATTATTTTTCATATCTGTAGGTGTCAATTTGAACTGTAAATTTTGGTGGGTACCCCGTCTTACACCCACTACCCCATCTTTTTCCCCTAGGTGATAAGTGTGGACCACCACACTAAATTTATCTTTTGTTTTTCACCATTTTACCATCAAACCTAATTTAATAGCAATATTAATTTATATGATATACAACTTTTGCTGAGTCAGCCAGTAACTTGTAAAATGATTATAGTAAATTATTTTAAAAGAACTTATTCACCTCCTATGTATTTATAGTATATACAATATTGATATAAGTGAAGTCAAAACACTTGTCCAATTTAAGTCCCCGCATATTTGATCACGCGCCACTTGATAGTAGGTAGTTTTTTTAATGTAAATTCGAATTGATATTTCGAGACTTATGTTGTAAATTATTTGTGTGTATATACCTACCTACGTCTACCATATGAATGAGCAATATCTAATTTTCAGGTTATTTTGGATAACAGAAAATACCTAGATATCTACTGCTTAAACCTACGGCATATTTTAAAGTTACCTGTGACGTCGTACCATTGTGACATTTTTTGGTACATAAACTGATTCAATTAAAACAAACGCCAAATTTAAGTATTGCTTACCACAATATACTAATGAAAATAACATTAACTGAGATTGGCGCAATTTTGCGTGAACAGCCAACAGATTGCAATCATTTTTATTTTGGGTTCTATTTCGTTTTAAAATATAGTTTTATCACCGACCTCAGAGTCGTCTAATGATTATTGAAGCTAAACTAAACTAACTTCAATACTTACTTTATATGATATACCTATATACTTACGTGTGATAAATTGAATCTGTCTTCTAGCTCTATCTCACTTTAAAAACCAAACTGCTTAGGAACCATATGTTATTATGAAATATAAGTCATATTATCGGTTTCAGCTGCGCTTCTTACTCCCATATCTAACGTAATAGGACATAAATACACTATAGTATTATCATCTTTACCAAATATAATTGCTGGCCTTATATTTGTATTTGCTGACAAGTTCTGGCTTGTTCTATTGGGTCGCGGATTCTGTGGAGTATCTATGGGCATGATAATTCCAATTATTTCTGTATATTCAGCAGAAATCGCTAACGTAAGTATCTTTAGAATTTATTATATTAAGTATTCTTGTTAAGTTAAGAAATATTCGAAGTACATAAGCAGACTTCAAAATAAAGCAATTTGTATTTTTATAAAATGTTCGCCCAAAAAAACCTATCATCAAGGTTACAGTTCTGTTTTTAAAGTCAGAGTAGATACATAGGGGTACATCGGAGTCAATAAGAACTATCTCTGATATATCTTTTTTTTTTATGAAACGGTGTGCCTACCTAAGGCAATGGTCTACGCTGCCACTAATAAAAAATATAAATTGAGATCAGGTCATAAAATCAAGTAAATTAGCCCATCGTGACAATCGCACAATGAATTTATAACGATGTTTTCCAGAGCCCAACGGAGGGAGGATGGCCTGATACCCTATCAGGCCAACCTCCCTCCGTTGGGCTCTACCATTACAAGAAAATAATATTACCAGTACAAGAAAATAATAGTAATTTTCTTCATTTTTCTAGAATGAGATACGAGGATCTTTGTGCTCCATCTTACAAGTTATCTGTGGTCTGGGCTGCGTGACTATGTTCATCGTAGGACCGTTTATGACCTATTTGAATCTCAATATCTTATACAGCTGCTTGACAATATTGTGCTCTATTCCGGCGTTATTTGTACCTCAAAGTCCATATTTCTTGTACACAAAAGGTAGGTGCCAGGCTAAGTACGTAGTTTTTATTAAATTATTTGATTTATATTTTTCTTAATTAATGTGAACAATATCTAATTTTTTTTAGATCATATCAAATGGCAATAAAATTACCTCAGTCTGAATATTATAAATAAATTATTTAGTAAATAATAGGTATGCTACATACTTTCAGGTCGAATACAAGAAGCACATCAGTTGCTAACATTCCTACGAGGTTCAGAGGAATTAGCTCAAGCTGAAATCGAACAATATTCATTATGCAATAACGTAAAACAAATTGAAACGCCTAAAAAAGTTTACAGAGAGAAATTATTTCTGAAGGCTGTTTACTTGTGTATATGTGTATCAATTTTAACTCAATGTTCAGGATACAATTCGGTGTCTTACTATTTGCAAACTCTATTGGAATCTACGGAGACTAATATTAGTCCAGCGATTGCTTCGGCAGTGGTTGGAGTGTTGCAACTACTTGGGGGTTGCATAACGGCCTGTATTATTGATAAGTACGGTAGAAAAACAATATTGTCTATTTCATTTCTTGGGATTGCTCTTGGATCGGTAAGTCATTCTGTTTAACAATTTGTATATAACAGCATTATTGTTTACTGAATTAGACAGCGAACAATTTACTTGCGCGGGTTGGATCTGTTGGATATTTGTCAACTAAAAACCACACGGTATACCGCCGAGGCACCGATGCTGGAGTCCCAGCATTGGTTTTTTCTTCTTATGGACGTAGTGCATCCGTCTGCGCTAACGGTTTATGCTGCAATTTATCATGATAATTTCCGCGTGGATGTCAACCTGATATGGTGCATTGCTATTAATGGAGTTATTAGTTCACATTACTAACAGCCCCCCCCCCCCTAGGGATAGGGTTAGTATTCTACTACGCCTCCAACTGTGGTGGGCAGACCTTATAGATCAAGCAGTAGATTTAGTAGGAAGGAACGTAAGAATTAGACTTTTTTGCGCGTATGTGAGAGAATAAAAGTGAAATAACCAAAAATATTGCACTTAACCTTTTAGGTTGTCTGTCTACCTTGTATGCGGATCGGTAGGTACTGCCATATTACGTTTCTAAAAATAATTCAAATGTTTCAGTTTGGTCTGGGAACTTTTTTCAAATTAAAGGAAACTCAGGAAATGCATGGAATTTTGAACTATGTGCCGATTGTATCAATAATTTTTGTCGTATACAGCTTTATTGCAGGTAATTTACCTACTTGTATATCTTTATTTAATTTGTCATTGGTTACATTAAATTATTCAGCAATTGTTTGTTAAACCGAATGTTAACTTCCCTGCATTTGTCGATGTTTTTGCATATCTTACCTGAATTTGATTGTCGTTATTTATTCTGCACTTTTTTATGCAATTAAAATGCAAAGAAGCCGGCGGTCTACTTGATGGTAAATAAAAATCGTCGCCATATATGTATATGAACAGAACTGCACAACAGCATTACCTACGGCATTAGGTATATGACGCACAAAGGACTAAAGTGTCATGCCTCCATATCCTGTAATTTAATTTATCGGTTGTAATATCTAATACAAAGGTGACCATGCAGACAACTTTCTATAAAGTGTATCTCGTTCAAATAAATAGTTTTTTTAACTATTCTAATGCTGTTAACTGCAGCTGGCCTTTACAGCTTCGCCGAATGATAGAGGGCCAGCGCAGATAGCACTCCAAATATGTGGATAGACTTATAAAGGGCCTGAATGCTAACTCCTGCCTGATGATCCGACTTTAGTCTAAGGGTCCTCAGACTAAAGTTGGGTCCGCTCGAACTTTCGATCCCCGTTTGAATTGGACGGGGGGTCGATAGGAGGGATGAAACATATTGTGATAGTTATATACCGGGACAGTATTAGAGTTTCCTTCTGTATTGATTACAATAAATATCATTTCTATTAAAGCCACTTTTATAGCACACTTTTTAAATTATATTTGTTTTCTAGGTCCTGGAACCCTTCTCTTCACATTACAGGCTGAGTTATTCGACAGACCAACTAAAACCGTGGGAGCTTCGATATCAATCTTTACAAATATGCTAATCATGTTTCTGGCCATCAGATACAACGACACTATAATCAATTATATCGGAGTGTATTGGAATTACTGGATGTTTAGTTGTATATCTGTGTTCGGTTGCTTATTTGTTATTTTATTTATACCAGAGACAAAGGGGAAGACTTTTACTGAAATACAGGAATTGCTGGGAAATGGATGTAAAACTACGTTTACACTTTGTAAGTGAGTGCGGTTACTATGTATGTAAATAATAAGTAAGATAGTAATCTAATTTTTTTTCCACCTGGAATGATAAATAGATTGAGGGCCCAGCTCCTGGTAGCTGAATACCGTAATTTATACAGATAATACTGGCTGTTATTCGTGACATCGTTTGCTTCTTAGTTAAAAAATAGGCTATGTACAATCTAGTGCCATATCAAATTTATAATCCATTCAACCATTTAGTCGTGAAAAGGTAACAAACAGACAGACAGTCAGCGATTCGCTTCAATAATATTGTAATATTATATGGTCATCCATACTACATGGACAAAATGTGGTCTTGTGAAGTCTTTAATTAGGTACTGTAGATACATACCTACTTAGATATCTTCATCCTTTTATTTGTACATGTATCATTACATAGTCAAAATAAAGTCTCTGTCGCTGTCTGTCCTTATGTATGCTTAAATCTTTAAAACTACGCAACGGATTTTGTAGCGGTTTTTTTTAATCGATAGAGTGAATCTAGAGTAAGGTTTATTATATCTATATAGTACATATACACCCGTGCGAAGCCGGGGCGAGTAGCTAGTAATATATAAAATGGTATCATCATCTGGCCAAAACTGTATATTTGTCAGTGTGTTTTTTTCTGTATTAATTATAAAGCACATTGATTTTAGAATAAAAAGTATAATCCAACACATATATAATTTGTATTCTTGTTGCTAAGTAACAGTTATGTGTATCGTGCAACTATTATGGAAACCAGATTAAATTATATTTACTGCTATATATGTATCCGCTAAATATATCCATCATTAATGGAATTATTACACACTGGCGGGGCACCAGATAACGATGATTGGATGAGCATGAAATCAGGTTAGAAGGTTATCTTGGAATCATCAGGAATTAAACACAGTTTCCAGGGGTGACTCTATGGAGGTCGACCTGACGTGGTACATTATTAACAATTGGGCCTCTGTACCCACAGGGCCACTGTATTACTATTAATCCCCTACCTAGAGCTATGTGTTAAGTTTCAAATAAAAACGAGCGGAGGAGTTAACTTTTATTTTCTAAAATAAAAGTAGCCTATATGAGTTATACTACATACTTATTACATTAGCTAAAAAAAAGTCCCGTCAAAAACGGTCCATCCATTTCAGAGATTAGCTGGAACAAACAGACAGGCAAACAAAAATTGTAAAAAATGTTTTTTTGGTGGTTACTTTGGTACTGTATTTATATTCATATGCATGTAGTAAAAACGGTTATTTCAATTAAATTGGAGTCTTTTTATAATTATTATTATAAAAAGACTCCAATTTTTTTTATATGTATAGATAACATTTAATTTGGGGAATATTTTAATACGTAATTATTATTAAATTATTGTATTAGTAAATTCATTGTAATAAGATTGTACATAGACAATGTTATTAATCAATTTACTAATAAACAACTAAATGGCGTTGTATAGATGTTTTATATATATTTGTCGTTTAATTAAGTATCTTTAGTACACGGCGATTCACATTGGGTATGTAAACGCGTGCGCAGGCGGCAGGAGTCTCCACTAGTAGTTAATAAATCTAAATTTTATTGATGCTTGAACTATTTTGTAAATATAAGTAAGTTTTAATTAAATATTGTTTGTAGAATTATTGGTCATTCATTTAGTGTGGTAACTACATATGTATATACCTACTTGAACCTGAAATAAATAACTTTGTGGTGTACCCTCATAACTTATATTTTAGTGAGTTTTAAATGTATTTGACGTCACAAAAGTAAAACTCATATATTTTTATATTTTTACATGAATAGACTCATTATTCTCTCTATATCTATTACTTATAGCTATTATGTAATAATATCCCTGTAGAATTCACACACCATCATCTAGTCCCAAGCTAAGCAGAGCTCGTGTTATGGGTACTAGACAACTGATATAAATACTTAATTTTTTTTTGTAAATACATATATAATATACCTACATAGGGGGGAAAGGGGATTGTTAGTAATGTGGACTGATGATCTTATTGCTAGCAATGTACCATGTCAGGTTGACCTCCACGTGGTTCCCCCTGGAAACCATTGTGATCAATTACTGGTGAATTTGTCACGATGGGCTAACTGACCTGACCTCATGCTCATCTTATCATCCTCCACTGGTGTCCCGCCAGCGTAAACCATTAACGCAGGCGGAGGCAACATTCCATTATCATCCATTAAAAAAAAATATACCTACATAGAAAACACCGAGACCGATACGAACAATCATACTCATCAATACAAATGTTTGCACCGTGCGAGGAAGCGTGACCAGTGACCGTCGGATGTAAAACGTTAAATTAGGCACTAAAATGTATATTTTATACTGATTGATAAAAAATTATATCAACATTTCTAAATATCAAAACGAATTAATGTATGGCACAAATAAATATTTTTATTATCATCCAATATTTATTTCAATATAAAGTAATCTTAATAATAAATACACTTAATTATTATCCTAAAAAATATAATCTAATTACATTTCAACATTTCTCAGCCTTATCTTGATTCTTTTTTTTCTGTCCCAACAAAACTTGAATTTCAGCGAACGATCGTCCCTTAGTTTCGGGGATACAGAACAATATGAAAATACACAGCAATATACAATTGACACTGAACATCCAATATGTCGCCGGTGCGCCTATGGCTGTTGTCACAAAGGCGAAGTATTTTAGGGTCATGAAAAGGGTTAAAGACCCTATTATTCCTGAGACAGTTAGCCCTATGGCTCTAGATGGTCCATCAAAGAGTTCGGAGCACAATGGCCAATTTACTGAACCTGGTCCTGAAAACAGACGAACAAAAAATCATAACTTCTGTGAGGGAAGGACTGTATCTACCTATAGGTACCTATATTGTATATATTGGTGTCGTTGTGGTTGGTAAATATAATTATAGAAGGACGGTTTTGAGACAGAAGTAATATCATTCTACGTACAGAAGAAAAACAGTTAACAGAAGAATGTCATATAATATTTTTCTATATTAAATAATGAGTATAAAACATATTATTTATGTTTTTTAAGTATAATTATTTATGTCATATAAAGAGGTGCGTTGTACACATCTTCAATGATTGATATTTAAAGAATGATACTCCTATCTACTGTACTACTTTCATAGAATGCATTTGATACTATGTTACTTGCTGATATACTATACTTTATAGTTAAATAAATAAAATAATTAGTCAAGTACTTTTTGAGTTTATAAATTATTTTTATGTAATTGGAATGGCAAACAAGCTGACGCTCCACTTGATGGTAAGCCGTAATCTATCTCACTTTTATTAGTATATATATATGAACAGCATTACGGAAATTACGTTATCATGTGACTGCGTTGCCATTCCTGAGGACTACGATGTCATGGCTCTATTCCATTACATACAAATAAAACAATTTCTTTTTCTTTATAATTTAGGTAGGTATGACATAAACGTTGGTATGGGCATCTCTTCAGAATATTTAAATATTTTTATATGAAGATTATTTAGAGAAAGAAACTTTGGAATAGATGTTTCAATTTGAAAAGTGCTTATAAAACTAACTATAGCTCGTATGTAATATAAGTCCATAAGGTTGTATATTTACCTGCACTGTAGCAATATACAACAAGTATCAGAGATATTAATGGCAGATAATTCATGAAACCGCTGATTTGTTCGTGAGTTTCTCTGATTCGGAAGAATATTCCAAGACCAATCTGAAAACAAACTTCTAAATATAAGTACGTATATTATTTTAAAAATTGTTTTACAATTTTGTATTTTAAATTATAATTTAAAAAGAAAGTTAAGAGCCCACTTGATGGAAAGTATTAATATAATTATACTATAATAATGTAGGGAACTAATATATGTGGATATAAAGGCATAACAAGCGTTGCATTAACCTGATTGATGACTGATAACAATTGTATTGGCTACACTGAGATAGAAATTGTGAATGTGTATTTTTTACTACTATATCTCAAATTTATAACTCTATCACTGAGCTCACAAATAAATTTGATGACGGTAGAAATAGGTGTAACCATGCGATTCTATAAAGGCTCTCTGCTTCGTAAAATTCATAATTAAATATTTACACATGAGCTCTGTGAAACTGTTGATTCAACTCACCATTCCTATAGCAGTTCCAGCCAATGTGGACCCCAAAATAGGTTTCCTTCCAAATCTATCTGTTACTAAAGTAGTACAAAAACTAGCAATCAGTTGTATGAATCCGATAATCACTGATGCAATCTCAGGTTTAACACTGGTTTTGGTCGATTCTAATACAGTTTGCAGATAAAAAGTCACTGCATTGAAACCGATTATTTGACTGCCTGTAGTTAATACTATAACTATTCCGAATGCTTTTAGGAATTGTCTATTTTTAAATATATCAATAATGTTTGGTTTGACGTCGTCTGTGGACGAGTATTCCTTTATTTCTTCATTTGCTAATACTTCGGAACCTCGGAGGAACGTCAGAACTTTTAATGCTTCTTCTGTCCGCCCTGAAAAAATATATACATAATTTTTAATATTAATAGAAACTGGGACTCAATATATATATAGTATGTAAAATATGTATAATAGAAAAGTTTAACTATTTTATTTGTGTAAAGTGTGGTAAAGTTTCAGTTTATGAACATCATTGTAATTTCTTCTGTCAATGAGTATGTAACTGAATTCGTCCAAAACTAACGGTTTAAACTTAACTAAATAGGTTTTTTTGTGTTTGTATGAATGCAATTTCGAATTCCTGATTTTTTATTGATTGTTTAGATTGATTACTTTAGATTCACACAAGACCCGGTAGGTAACATATATAAGCACATTACAAATAAATATTATAGGCTCCAGCGACAAATGTGCCAAATTGCCACCAAACTGTTATCTATAGTAACAAAATCTTAAGAATAAATTGGTAGGTATAGGATAAATACATACCTTTTGAATATAGATAATAGGGACTGTCCGGCAAAAACAGGAGTGGTATAGATAGAACCACAACGACGCCTGTAAATACCATATTGAGAGTCACATATGGTGTGAACGGACCAATACTCAGCATCAGCAGGATGC